TCTCTCACATTAAATTCTCAAATTCTTTGTTCTTCTCAGCTTAATTCCCGACAAAATCTTTCAAGTGTTACATTTGAAGGTCACATTTTATTTCTAAGAAAATGGTAAGGAACAGAGTCCTCTCCACAGCTCTCATGCAATAAATCTAGATGACTTGTTACAGAGCAAGGAAAGAGCACTTTCTCTCAGTCAGCTCCCTAATTGGTGGGCTGTAACTTGCAGCTGTAAAGAAAGGATTTTAAAGGAGTTATAAACCTACTAAAGAATCTAAGAAAAATAAGGAAATTGTGTGTTATATCCTTTACATTTTGTGATTTAACAATTTTAGAAATATTGGGGAGAGAAATGCATTATCAAGGAGAGTGCTGGGATGAGCATCGAGGTGAACCCCCACTCCCCACCCAGCAGCATGAGTTGCAGGGCAGAGGGCGGGGGCATGAGTGACATTAAGTGTCTTAAATCCTAGAATATATTTTTCTGTCTGTATGTAACCCTTGACCATAAAAAGGGAAGTGTGTAGCTCTTCCACAGGGCTATGCAGCTAGTTTATTTTTTGTAGCCCTGGCCAGTTGGAGAATCTTTCCTCATGTTGTATCTGAACAAAAGCCATAAAACTGAGGTTAGGAATTTGTACAGAGAGTTAATCATTGCCCTAAGTTATCAGCTAGACCTAGGAGGGAGACTGGCACTGCAGTTTATTTCGAACTTTTTACCTTGGCTCAACAAACCAGACAGCTGGCTGGATGTCCTTGTAAATAAAATTGTATTTTTTTCTGGGAACAGTTTATTTTAAAATCCATTAATAAGGCACCTGGTCTAATCTAAAGCTACTTTGAAGTTTTAAATCAGCTATCTTGGCAGCTGGGGAAATACAGCTATTTTCTTTCTTTCTTGTTTTTCTTTCTTTCTTTCTCTCTCTCTCTCTCTCTCTCTCTTTTTTTTTTTTTGGTTTTTCGAGACAGGGTTTCTCTGTGTAGCTTTGGAGTCTATCCTGGCACTCACTCTGGAGACCAGGCTGGCCTCGAACTCACAGAGACCCACTGGCTTCTGCCTCCTGAGTGCTGGGATTAAAGGCATGCACCACCAACACCCGGCCAGCTGTTTTCTTAATGTCAGGCTGAACTGTAATCCAAGACAGCTCTTAGTGGGAACTCACAGCCCCTAACTTGGGTATCATTTCTTTGTATTCATAGTTACTCATCAAAACTCTGTATAAGTTAACAATATTAATATCAACTGGAAAATACAGTTTAAGTCACCTTCTTGATAATCCACAGATGAAATCATGAGATAAACACACTAGGATACAGGTAGTGGGGGACTCCCCGCATATAAATACATCATATCAGATACCAGAGAAGACCATATAGCAGCAACAATATGAAAGTGCAGTGTAAGCAAAAGACGTTCTGGAGTCTATATTATCATATACCTTGAATGAGATAATCCCATTAGAGAGTTGAACTTCTGGTGGGCTGACACCTGAACATTAATTGCCATCTGGTGTATTGAATGATAATGGCCTCTGGCATTTCACACTTTTAGTTTCTGAACACCTCATCACAACTTCATCAACTTTCTAGAACATATTTCTGAAGGGAAAGTCTAAATCATAACATGAATTTGGGACAATGCGATACAGCCCCTAACACCAGTACATTTTTCACCAAGTACTAGGTCCCTGTGAAGGCTACCGTTTCTCCTCACATTCTGTCTGATGCGTGTCATATATTAAATGTCCAAAATGTTTTACTGTATTAGTTGGAAGTATATGAAGAGTTCATTTAAATTGATCTCTTGGAAATGTTTCTACCTTATATTGTAAATATTTTAAATGGTGTAGGGTCAGGTATTTTTGGCTTTTTATCCTGGGTCTTTATAATACTAACAAATGTACATAAATCAAAAAATGCAGAATCCAGCAAGTACCCAAATAGACTTTTAAAAACACTAAAGTTTGTATACATCTTTTACTATACCAAAACACCTGAAGCAGGTATAAATTTTCTTTATTGATGTTTTATGCTGTTAAAATACTATAGACTTGAGTACCTTTTAGACAAAAGAGGTTTATTTGGACCCCTTTCCAGCAGTCATATGTGGCAACAGCTTCTCAACGCGGTGGTCCACGGCTTCAAACCGAGACAGGACCATAGGCATCTTTTTCCTCCTCTTCGTCACTGGAACTCATGTACGGGGCTGCAGACTGATCTAACCCTAATGAACCTTGGATGACACCACCTTGGATTACCTTCTTCTTAGGCTTGAGTTCCCACCCTCTCAGTACCTCATGAAAGGGAGCTGAACTTTATCACAGGAACCACTGAGCTACATCCCAGCCCCACCCACACCACAGCTCAAGCTTCCTGATAAAAATCTCTGTTTTCCTTCTTGCAACACAGCTGTAGAAGAAAATGCACACAGGACACAATCAAGAAAATGTGTGGGCTAACCTTGGTGATGGGATCAGCAAAGCTGTGCTGCCACCGGATACTGTGGTATCAGATTCTCAGAAAGACAGAATTCTCTAACACCCCATCAAAGGTACCAATTAACCACCAAGAAAGAGTAGGTCAACTAAACAAATGATTTTGATAGACCCATGGAAAATTTAACTCAAGTTTTGTTTCAGAAGAGCCTCCAAATGCCCCAGTCTTAACTAGACAAAACTGACAGCAATTACAGGAGTAATACTCCACCCAGTCCAGCTTTGGTCAAGGTCACATGACTTGAGGTCCACCCATCTGAGACCAGGGTCACAATCAAATACAATGCCATGAGGTTCCACCTGGCTGGTGGGCTGGGCTCGGTATTCAATTCCACAGCTGCAATCCAGTTCACTCAGACTATGACTGTACCTTGCTCAAGCCCAAGTGACTGTCACTCAATTAACAAGGGAACTATAGCACTCTTCCCCGTATAAGCCACAGCAGTGACACCCCAACAGGGGACTACTTCCAAAATGCAGGCTGTGCATTTCATCCAAATTCCAGGCTGCTCTAACAAAATGCTATAGAGTCAACAGTTAATAAACAGCGGGAAATCATTGCTCATAGATCTGAGGGCTTCAAAGTCCAAGATCAAGGTGCTGACAAAATTTGGTGTCTGGCAACGGCACTTTCTAGTTCACAGATGGTGTCTTCTCAGAGTAACGACAGAAAGCAAGCAAGAGCCACTGGCACTCCTATTGGAGTTCTTTCTGACCTCCTCACTCTACAGACACCTCATCTCTTAACAGCACTGCACCGGAGAGTAGGTATCCACAGATCCAGAGGGGCCAAACACTTGGACCACAGCAGACACTACCTGTGCATCCCCCAACTCATTTCCCTCTCTGCTCAAGATACTATCATGCTTAACTCAAAGCTCATGTTCTCCTTTACCCCCTTTCTTACAGGAAATTATACACATCTGTGTCTCTTCTTCTACTTGGAAAATATTTTATGGATATCAGAAGAATGAGTCTTATGAAAGAATTGCAGATATTAGTGAGTAATGAGCTAAGAGAATTCTGGGTCCTCGGGCTTCTGGATACTCCTAGATTATACCTACTAGCTTAGCAACACAAAGGGCTGAGCTATTTCTGTCCACATTCTTCTTTGGTCCAAATGCACCGTAACTGATTTCCAAGCAAGCTTCCACTTGCTCACCCCCACCTCTGTAAATGATGCATCACTTAGTTCAGTCCAAAATAATGGGAACTAAAAATAAGAGACTGGGGGGTGTAGTCAGTGACCGAGTAACCATGCTCGGGTGTGTGTGTGGTTATTCTCGATTCCTTTTTCCTACACCGTGTTTTCAATCTTAGCCCCAGTTCCAGAATCTTCTGGTAAATTTACCATGACAGGGTCACAGCATCTTTGGCTGGATTCCAGGGCCTTTCATTCTAAAACAAACAAACAAACAAACAAAACTCCAACAAACAAAAAAAAACATATCCTACTTTTTTTTTTTTTTTTTTTTAAAGCCCAGCATGGTTTTGAAGGACAGATGAAGCTGAGATATCCCATGTGTTCCTGCCTGCAGATACTTCTACCACCTGGGTCTATACCTTTATCTCTTGGGCATCTATCTGTGCAGGTTTCTGCTGCTACCATGCAGGACCAATTTGCTTGGGGACAGGCTGCTGTTGTGAACTGTGTTGTTCTTCCATTTATTTTAAAGGGCAAAATTAAATCCTAGCACAAACCTTGACAGAGTTCTTAATGAAAATAATAACTCCTAAAGTTTTCATTTCACTCAGCCAAACTCACTTGAATTCTATACCAGAAGGGTGAAAGGTTTTGTTTCACCTGGTTTGTGCTGCTACAGGACACAAAGCCTATCATAGCCCTGGCTGAGTTCTGAGACCCTCACCATAATTAACAGAGCCTGAGTGCCCCTATGCTCCAGATCCCCAGTGCTGAAAGGGCACTTGGATTGCAGGCTTCAAAACAATCCAGGTTTGGGATTTAGGATGCTTAAACTATACTCTATGAAAATGTTCTGAAGTTAAACACAGTAAATTCTGAGATTTCAAACACCTGAGGCTCTCAAGCATTTCCGATAAAGACACATGCAGTGTGTAGCATATGCAAAGATTCAGACCAAGTAGCACACGCATGATTCCAACAGCCACACATGAAGTCAAGTCTGGGGTAAAATGGATGTTCTCAGAATTTTCTCATCTAAGATCTCCAACATCTGATGCAAAGCAGAAAGCCAACCTTTGTAGCTCAAAGTCGATGACCAGCAAGTTTCAATATTTTATTAAAATAGCATATTCAACCATGGTTAACCAAGAATACGTTAAAGTTGTTTCCCCCACCCCCACCCCACCCCAATATGCAGCACAACACAGTAGTGATTTCAAATATCCTTGATCAAGAACCAACAGAGATGTTTCAAAGTCAAGTCTGCAACTGAAAACCAGACCTTCAGAAATTTCTAAATTAAAAAAGAAACAAAACTTTCCAACAGTTTTCATTTGTTCCCAAATAAACGCTGGTGCACCGCCCACCTGACAATACCACTAGGATTTTTATTCTTTATGCATAGTGTAACATCTCATTTATAAGTACCCACTTTTATAAATAAAATTGGCATTTTCCACCCCATTTAATGTTTCTTTTCAGCTTCACAAAGAAACCAGTAAATAAAACTGTCAATGACAGTTACAGCATACACTCTAACAGCAAGATAAAAAACCTGAAAATAGCAGAGATGCATCTAGGCTGTTGTACATAAAAAGACAGATTTAAAAAGTGCAAGGCAAAGTCTGCAGGTTTCGAGGGAGCTTTTAGGCACATCCATGTCTTTAAAGCAAGCTTCAGAATGAAATTCCAGTTTGTTCTTCATGACACCTGTTTAAGTCTTTAAAAAAAAATCCCACAAAAGTTCATCTCATTAAGTGTAAAATGGAGTCTCATGTCCTAAGGCTAACTTAGTTGTGGCGCGTCCGGCCCTTCTTTACTCTGGCGGGCTTAGGCTTGGGGATGTACTGGTTATTGGCCTGGTACTCTAGCTCCTTCCGGAAGTAGTGAATGGCTTTGTTCAACCCTTCCTCCAATGGGACCTGGTGGAGACAGTGAGAAAAGGAACAAGTTTCTGTCAACAGAAAGGCTTCCTTGAAGCAAACATCAGAGTGCCCTGGAGATAGGAATTTGTAGTCAGCTGTCCACTTCAGGAGGACACTCAAAACCTCACTCTGCCAGGAGTATATCAAGGCCACTTTGGAGATGCCTGAGGTCCTTAGAGCTACTTTCAGAACACATTCTGCAACTTAGCAAGTGATACTGGCTATCAATGCCCTCACATTCCAAAGCCCCCAGTCCCTCTTGCAGGCATGCTTACTACAGTCAGCTGCAGAGACTGTTTCTGAAATGTGTGTGGGCCCACTCTTATGAGGAAATCCTCCAAGGACTGGGAGGAAGATGCTCTGAGGAGGCTGTCTACACTTGCCTCCCCGGGTCTCCCCCATGACACACTTGCACTCACACTGACAGCATAGGTAGGGAAGGAAATGATGACATTTAAGCAATCTTAACCTGGAGCTGGAGACAGGAAACAGAAGTCAATTAGCTGCTAAAGAGAAAGCTGTGGAAGGAGGCTGATGGGGGAAATCCTTCTGTGTATATGTTTGTCTTATTGGTTGATAAATAAAGCACTGTTGGCCAATAAGAAAGCAAGATAGGTGGGGCTAGGAGTTGAGGAGGGTTCTGGGAAATGTAGTAAAGACATCGGTTGCCATGTGATCCCGTGAGGAGAGGACGCATGCTGCTGGCATCCTCGATAAGTCTTTATAAAATATATAGATTAATGGTTATGGTTGATACTTAGGACAGAGCTAGCAAATGAGAAATCCTAGTCATTGGTCAGCAGCACTGTAACTAACATAAGACTCTATGTGTTGTTTGGGGGCCCTAGTGTGGCGTTAGAAAGTGTTATCATTACAGGAGGTATTGCCAGGAACTATAGTACATTTGCTGGTGTTTGTTTTGATTATGGTGATAGTTTTATCACAAAAGACATTGTATTATATGTTTTAAATCTGGGCATTTCATTCCACAAGACCCTAAAAGCAGAGGAAGCATAATTAGACAAACTCTTAGTAAAATAAAAAGTGTGCAGAGATAGCCTACAGCATGGAAGAGAATACTTGTCAACTATGTATCTGATAAGGAGTAAAAACATATAAGGATCACAATTTTAAAAAATTAGATTTAAATAGGTATTTTTCTCAAGGGAACACGCAGAAATGGCCAATAGGTATATGAAAATCCTCAGAATCGCCAACTATCAGGGGAACACACATGAAAACACCTCCTCACCACGTTAAGATGCTTTCTCTACCTCAATAAATTGCCCCCACTCACATGCATACACAGCAATTATTTTGAGATGCCTAGGTGTCTTTGGATGAGACTCTCATATATTTCCTATCAATTAAGCCTCCTATTACAAAGAATCCAATGGCAATGCCTCATATTCTGTATCTCCATGTCTTTTAGATGTCTCACAAAATACAAGTTCTAAACACATATCCTGGCTTTCCATACACCTCTAAAATGAAGAGTGCATATTTAGTAAATATACATCAAATATTTTCCTAAAACATTCTGTTTAAAACACATGCTTTGGTGACAAAAGGACAAATGACAAATTCTTGCAAAAACCTGGAGAACCTGAGGTGCTATAGATGGCTCAGCTGTTGAGACCATTTGTTGCTCTTTCAGAGGACCTGAGTTCAGTTCCCAGCACCTACATAGTAGCTCACAACTATCTGTAACTCCAGTTGCAAAGGATCGACTGGCCTCTGTGGGCACCACCTGCATGTGGCATACATGTATACAAGCAGTCAAAACACAAATATAAAATAAACCAATAAAAACAAAAACCCCAGAGAAGCTGTACCTCTGCTTCTGCAATTTCCATGTTCGGATGGGACTACTAGATTTTAAGTCTGAGCATACTTTTTATTTCATTTATTGATTTTCTGTCCTTTAGCAGATCCCTCGGACTCAAGGTGTTGCTTTGCAGCATAAGAGTTGGGCTAAGATTCTAACATCCCTTCAGATTCCATCCAGTTAGATCCTACCTCCTTGGCATTTACCCTGCCACACCTTCTAACAGGTAAGCTGAGCTCTGGGCAGTACTCCACCTCCGGTTGGGTCCTCAATTGCTCTTATAGTGAGGCAGCCCCACCTGCCCTGTGTTTATCTTCCATCTGATATCTGCGCCAGCTGTTAGGATGCCTGCCATGATATGGGACAACATGCTCTGCCCAAGGAAGGTCACTTCCAGGGGGGCACAGCAAAGAGCGAACAGCCAGTCACAGTAGATGGAAAGAGGCCTCTTGCTCCTGCAGCCTGGCTGGCCATAGAAATTATCTATGAGGAGGTGGGCCTGTACAGGACAGACACTTGAGGGGCTACATACAGCCCTGGGATACTGGTGTTCACAGACAGGGGGAGCTACCCCACCAACAGAGGGAGAGAGAGGGACTGGGGGTTCAGAGTGTAAATACAGCCTAACAGCAAGAAGCAGCTGGACAGATTTTGGTGTTCAGTCCAGTGTTTCTCAACCTTCCTACTGCTGAGCCCCTTTAATACAGTTGCTCATGTTTTGATGACCCTCCCCCAACTATAAAATTATTTCACTGTTACTTCATAACTGTAATCTTGCTACTGCTTTGTATTGTACTGTAACTATCTGATAGGCAACACCAAAGGGGCCGTGACCCACATGTTGAGAACCACTGGTTTAGTAGGTCAGCCAGTGGAGAGCCTGACAGTCTAGGAGCCCCAGGAGGTATGAAAGTCCACCTTCCTCCATGTCTTTCAGTCTTCATGCTTTCCGGCACACGACTGATAGGACAAGATCACTTCCCTCTATATGAAACCTCGCCCAGTCCAGCCCTGGACACCAGGGCCCTGCAATGAAGCTGTTGTCATTCTCTGATGCTCTCAATCTGAAATGTCACGACACTATCTCAAGGGCAGCGGAGCCCTTAGGAGGCGTGACCTTGCCAGCAGAAGTTAAGTGTATGGTGGGCCTCTGGAGGTGACACCCACCCTGGTTCTTTACTTCCTGCCCCTGTATTCCTTGACACAACTGCAATTGACTGAAGCTCTGGCTGCCATGCCTTCCCTGAAACCCTCTGACAATGTGAACCAAAATAAACCCTTCCTCCCTTTTAAGTTGCTTTGGTAGGCATTTTGTTACAGCAATGAGAAAAACAACTAATACAACCCGTTTTGACACTGCCCTCAGAGATCGACGTAGGTAGTAGTTAACAGTAACTCTCAACCTGACAGACTAAACTACCTGGGAAAGAGTCTCAGTGCAGGGCTAGAGAGATGGCTCAGCAGTTATTCTTCCAGAGGACCCGGGTTCAAACATTCTCAGCACCCATATGGCAGCTCACAACTGTCTGTAACTCTAGGTTAGGGGATCTGATACCTTCACCCAATGCACATAAAATAAAGATTAAATAAATTAAAAAGAAATCCAAAAAAGAGGAAAGTTGTTTCTTTTAGGGGGCTGGAGAGATGGCTCAGATGTTAAGAGCACTGACTGCTCTTCCAGAGGTCCTGAGTTCAATTCCCAGCAACCACATGGTGGCTCACAACCATCTGTTATGAGATCTGGTGCCCTCTTCTGGTGTGCAGACATACATGGAAGCAGAATGTTGTATACATAATAAAGAAAAAAGACTGAAAAAAACCAAAGAGTCTCAGTGCAGTAACGGTCTTTATCAGGTTCATCTATAGACATGTCTAGGAGATACTGCCTTGGCTGTCTTAACTGACAGAGGTCAGTCCAGCCCACTGAGGGTGGTGCTGTTTCCTAGGCAGTTTAACACCGGATGTATAGGAAAGCTAGCTAAGCATGAACCAGTGAGTGGCACTCCTTCATGGTACCTGCTTCCAGGTTCCTGCCTCCAGGTCCCTGCCCTGAGTTCCCTCAGTGACAGACTATGACCTGTAAGTTAAGCCAAATAACCCCCCTTTCCTCCTCAAGGTGCTTTTGGTCAGTGTTTTATCACAGTAATAGAATGAAATGAGGATATTTACGGACTCTCCTGAAGACAGCTCACAGGAGGCCTAAACCATTTTCACTAGCAGAACATGAGATACCACTGGATAGAGAAAACCTCGTACCTGCCTGGACACTCAACCCATCCTACTACCCTGGAACCCTCCCAAAATGGCCGCAGCTTAGGAGGAAAAGGCTATGGGAGGAGGATGCCTTTTTCCGAGGCAGCGGACCTCCTTTGTACTCACCACGGGCTCCCAGCCCAGCATCAGCTTTGCTTTTTTGATGTCTGGTTTTCTTTTTTGTGGGTCATCCTGGGCTTCAGAGAGAAACTGAATTTCACTTCCACTACCTGAGTTTTTTAAAAAGGGGGAAAAAGAAAAGGTAAGGCCACAAGAATCCCTTATCACTAGGGGGCACTCTTTTCCCATCTATGGCAGGAGAAAAATCATACCTACAATAGAACAAGAGCAAGGACCCTACACAAGCAGCTCTGACAAAGCCATTGGACAGTCCTCACAAACCTAGGTGTGTGCCTGAATGATCATTACTATGCAGTCATGTACAGGAATGGTTCTGGTCCCAAAGATTCTCCTAGGAGAACAAAGGGGCTTGTGCCAAGGACAAACCTCCATGTTAGGTAACAAAGGCAGATGTGCCTCCGGGGCACAATCCCACAAACACAAATATACGAATGTGGGTGGAACCTCCTTAAAGGTGGATACTCCCAGTGGGCCATAACTGCATATCTAGGATCTAGGAATCCCCTCCCTGGAGATCCTGTAGTCTACAAAGTTCTTAACCAACAGCATGAAGAAGGTAACTTAGATGACCTGACTATCAGTGGATGCTCTAGCAAGAGCAAACCCAGAACCAACACATAAGATGTCATCTCTGTTGCTGGATGACGCTTGTGAAGGACAGAAAAGCCTGGCCTAGTACCCTGAGCTGGGGAGCTAGACTCCATGGAGTTTCCTAAACTCTGAGGTGCACATGGATCACTGGTACACACTGTCTTCTGGGAGGCCAGGGCTCACATCTACAGTGCCATTATGCCAAAGCCCAAGGTTCCCATCTGCACAGCAAAGGTTTCAAACACATGGTGACTGTGGGCAGATGGTGACCGGAGAGGGCCCTGCCTCACCAGTGGGAATGCACAGCTGCGAAGCAAGCCTGAATTGGACTGCTGGAAGCATACAGCACTGTGCTTGTGTGGCAGAAGGACTTCTGTCTCCACTGTCACACAGAACAGGATTCCAGCTGTCCATAGCTGCTCAGTACAACCCTGATCCAGGAATGTCAACATGGAGGAGCCTATTCAGCCAATGGGGCAGCAGGGTCAAATCAGAGCAGTCCGCAGCACACATACATCATGGTCCGGGCCACAGTGGCATGTCTTGAACTCACATTTCTGGACTGGAGACCAGACTTCCTAGAGCTCTAGCAAGCCTGAGAAGAGGCTGGGGCGCTGGGGCTACCTCCTTGGCACATGTAACCCAAGGGCAGGGCCATACCCGGGAACATCCTGCTGCTTGATGGGAACACTGTTCCAATGTCACACAGCCAAAGCCAGCCTGGACAGAACTGATGTCACTCTGTCCTTGCTCCTGAAATTCGGTCTCGAAGGACGTAGCGCTCAGAAATCAGCGGTGGTCACCCACACAACATGTGCTAACCTAACCGTGCCACACCTGGAGGACAAATCTCTGACCCACGCTCCACCCAGACCTGCCATTAGACCTGAGAGCCAAACTCATCTCACTCCATCCTCTCTCTAATCTCAGAAGATCTGGAAATGTTCCTCATCAATACCGCTCTGATCCAGTCAGTCAGACTGTACTAATTCTCCACTGTTTAGAGACGGTACTACTAACAGACAGGGTAAACATGGAAGAGTTCATTCAGAGTCACCTAGCATACTTACCAACAAGGTTTTTAATTAACTGAGCAAATTCCAGGATCGTGTGTTCTTCTGGGTTCCCCTAAGAAAAAAATGGATTCACCTATAAGCATCATGACAATGGCAGTAATTCTCTACCTGGCCACACATAACTTCAGAGACATTCGCTACATGAATCGTCATTAGTCCCCAGACTAACCTGCCTCCGACTTCACCCCAGCCTCTTGTGCCACTGGAGCATTCTGGGATGGTTTTCATCCTGGCCAGCTGCAAAGCTATACTACCTTAGACCTTTAATCTCTTCTGAAGAATAGCCTTCAGGTAGGACAAGGCCATTTTAAGTGGGTCACACACACTGGGTGCGCTCCCAGGACGAGTTACTTTTTAATCTACTACTTTCCTGTTACTTTAGTGTTACTCTGCATGTTTGGTTTCACATTGCTGTCTCCTAGGGCAACAAACTTCCTCTATGAGAACTGTGCCAATACCTTTCACAGTGCAGGACCAAAGGTCCTATAGAGAAAGCTGCTGCCGAAATGGATACTGTCACAGACCAGTGTCCTGGGCAAGCCACAGGGACAGTCTCCATGGGCTTGATGAAGCCAGCTAACTGGGTTGGGGAAGAGGAGTTGCTAAGCAAACCCTTTCCTTCATCACATTTTCTAACAGTTGCCACCTTCATTTTTGCAATGCTAGAGACAGAACTCAGAGCCTTGCTCTTGCTACGAGCTACTTCATCACTGCTCTAACCTGCTACTCTTACTCCACAAGTACTACACCAGCACAGACTACAGAAAAGCCTAGCAGCTGTGAATTTTAAATTCCTCCAGCTCCCAATTTCCGAGGCTCTCCTGGACCCAGAGATCAAAGTATCAGGAAGGCCCAGGCTTAATTGTAGGCCGAAAGAAAGGCAGAGTGATGGAAGGAGCATGGGCGAAGGGGGCTATGGGAGGCTCCTGGCAGAACACCTTTCTCATTTGAGGGAAGACGTGTTTCTAAATGCTCTTGTGCAAAGCCTTCTAAAGAGAGTAAAGGAGTAAGATGTACAGAGAACATGCAGGCATAAACAACAGAGCAGGGCCTTTTATCACAAGCCTTTATCCATCTGGAGCTTTTATCCACTTTCCAAGTGTGATCTATACACAGAGCCCTTCAGGCAGAGGGAGTTCACTATGCTGCTTGTGCATGCCTCGAGAGTGTTGCTTTTCAATCTCTTACTCTGCTTTGTCTCACTTGAATACTTAGCAAATGCCCGACACAAGCTGGTTGTGGGCCAAGAGAGTCCTTCACCAAAGACGCTCCAGCTGCTGCAAGGGAGAGGCAGAACTGTACTCACCAAGTTCACAGGGCTGCTGACATTGCTGTTCATGAGTGCTACCAGGCCATTCACCAGATCACTGGAAAAGAGGGAGTGCTGGGTCAGGCAATGCTCGCCATAGCGCAGGAATGCCGAGGGCACACACCAAACCTCCCCAGACAGAAACAAAAACCCGAATGGAAAACTGGATGTGGAAACAAAACCCTGTAAATTAAGATGGTGTTTGTAATGCTAACATGTTCATGAATGAAATGAGTCCTGTAACACTGGGATTTGCTTTTGGTGGGTGTGGTGGGGTGGTGAACAGGGTGGATAGAATGGGTTAAATCTACCCTTTCTGTGCATTGCTGAAAACAACCAAGGACCAAAAGTAAGTTAAAGTAGGTATACAGCCCCTAAAGATGGCCAACTGCAGAGTCTCTGATGAAGCCCCAAGTTTAACGTGAGCCTATGTTAGTCAACCGAAACGAAAGTTAGGATTGATTTTTATAAAATAAGCTCCACAGAAATGAATGGACTTCAGTATGCAAACTCCATACTGGCAAATCACAGCGAAAGCCAAACAAACTGAGCACTGAAATCAATGAAGGCTGCCACCCCCTCTCCCCCAGCCTCCAGCCCACCCTTAGCACATCCTGTGACGCTCGCTTGCTCGCTGTCAGGGGCAGTTGGATGTTTCGGATGGATTGTGATCGGCTGAGCCATGAAGGTGAAGAGAAGTAAGCAAACTTCCGCTTACCAAGGTTTGGTTCTTAGTTTCAGAAGCGTTAAAGTGTGGCTCTGTTAAAGAAAAGTTACTTCGTAAAAATGACACCGCACTGGGAATGTAAGCACTTGTTCTATGCCCATGTTCAGCAGCTATGGTTCTGAATGAAGTCCGCTTGCGAACCTCTCCCTCTTTCTCCAGCTTTCCCACAAGGCACAGGCCACCATGGGCCATGATTGGCTTGCAAAAGAAAACCCAAGATACTTTTGCTTTTCTTTTAATTGGAATAAAAAAGATTTTTTTGTGTGTGTCATTTAATAAGGGTATTTCTGCATTTCCGGTTTCAACAATGGGAATTTTATATGAATATGCTTAATGTTCTGTTCTCACAGATCAAATGTAAATATAAACCACCATTGACCTTGAATGATTTCTTTTCTAAGAGAATCTGGCCAAAAAAAAAAAAAAAAAAGTCACTTCATCACCATGGCAGTAGTCACTACACCCACCACGCACTCTTACGGCATCCGTCTGTGTCTGCAACAAGACATTAAAAGCTGCCATTCAGTAGCATCCACAATGGCTCCTAACACCGAAATAAGGGCAGGGTCATGTGGGGTTGGAAGATGACTGGTTCTTAAGCAGTCATCCTCTTTGGGAGAGGAGGGAGGGAGGGCCATGCACCTTGTATGTAACAGGTTGGCAACTTTTAAAGTCAAAATTGTATAAGTCATACTCATTCAGCCTGAAGCTCTTGAAAAGTGTCATTTTGACAAAGTGACTTTTAAGAAATATATAACATGCCTTTGTTATGTGAATGAGGACACAACCCAACCATGAAAGTATCAGACACATCATGCCAGATGTCAATGCAGATGACCATGTAGGCCTTGGGTCCCCGTGGTGCTGCCGAGGCAAGTGAGGCTCTGGGGACAGTTTAACCAAGGACTGTAACTACGGGTTCAAACACTGTACCCTTTTACAAAATAAGAGACTTTCAATTTCTTAAAGTAGTAGGGGCTGTGTTAAAAATAGCAAGCCTCTGGTTAGTTCTCTGTGGAGACTTGAGTCACTAGATAGTGTACAGCAGGTAGTGTACAGCAGGAAACTAACCCACAATATCCCCAAGTCCTGGTGATCTCAGATACACTATGATAGCAGTACTACCGAAAGGGGCTCTGCTCAAAGGGTCCACTCCTATGCACAGGGAAACTACTGACATCCTCTTTCCAAGGTGTCAGATGGTCTGGGATGTGACCATGTATAGGTCACAGCAACTAGGGGGGTGAGCTGTGGCCAGGACAGGCCTGGTGCCATGACAGCATAGGCATTGTTGAATTCTTAAAGTATTTTAATTATCTACTCCTTTTCTCCCCACCAAATGTACCTGAAGTTACTCAACTTAATTTCGTATGAGATGCTGAAGCAAAGTGACCAGAAAGAAGGCAGGCTTCTAACCACAGCCCTTTGTATTACATCAAGTCTATTGATGGTGGACGATGAAGAAGTCTGGGACCCAGTTATGTAATTCAAGGTTGAATCTGTGTACTTGCAGACCTCCTTGGAAGTGCATGACTGGGGGTTGGGGGAGGCAGGGTGTGAAGGGGGATGGGATGAAAACGCATTGTTATTATTATTATGAAGAGGTGGTGCAATACATGGGAGGTCTGGCTAGTTCAGTCCAGCTACAGAAATTTGCCCCAATACATTTCTCCAAGCCCACAGTCTGAGCTCTACACTCTAAAACAGAAACTGTCCTGGAGGGAGGGACGGCCACTTGTCCCCTCCGAAACTGTCTCTTGGAATAAGCTAACCTATTTGGATAACACATGGCCAGCTAAATCTCACTTTCAGGCTTTCGGCCCTGCTTGACAAGATATGCACAGGTAAGGAGAAACAAATACTGACTGTGATAAACATGTATTTCCAGCTTCTTTTGGATCACACATAAGAATGTATATACTTCCAGGGGAAAATCTGTACTGGTTGTTTTAATTTTGGGGAAAAAATTAAAGCAGCATTCCCATTTTTCTAAGTGACTTCTACTGAGCTCCTCAGCTACTGAGACATGGTTGCTTAGGCCAAGGCTAGGGGCTACTCAAACCTGCACCCCGTAGCTATCATCTTACCCTACAGTACCCTTTGGATGGCTCTAAGACACCTGGGACAGCATTTCCTGGTCAAGAGGCATTCAAGTTATTTGCACTTAAGGGCAAAAGTACATGGTGTCAAAATATAGACTTGGGTTTTACAATGATCAAGGATGTTGGAAACTTCCATTGAATTTGTAAACATTACACATGTGTAGTGTGGTAACTGCTTATTAATACCAACTGCATTGACCAACAAAACTCTAGGTAAGCTTCCAAAGACAACAATGCAAGTCACCACGTGAAACTATGCTCAAGAACATGAGCCTGCCTCAGCTTCAACACAAGGTCACCATTAAGAAAGGCTTATCTCCTGTTCTTAAAGACTCTCTCCATGCTAGAAAGCCATAATTTAAAAAATTGGTTGGACAACAGAATCTGCAGGTTTGATGGGTGATTAATTGGCCTGCAGCATTAATTACCCAAGCTACCCTCACAGTGCAACATAACTTCACCTAAGCAACACTAGGTGGCAGTGAAGGATTAGCCAGGAATCACAGAAACGGTAGATGAAAACCAATTTTAACAGAGAAAAGCAAAGGGTTTCTAATCAAATATTAAAATTAACTTAATACATAGTTGAGCTGTGGAAATAACCAGAGTGTACAATATATAATTAGCTGTTATTGCATTCCTCCACTCAGAACCAAGGCTAAGGACCAGAGCCTTACCTGACATACTGGAACGCCCTTGTCTGAGACCCAGATCCATATACCTAGAAGGAAACCAAGAGTTAGATCTGAGAAAAACCACCCTGACACTATCAGTGGGACTCCTGACTTCAGAACCAATCCTCAAAGAGGCACTTACATGGACTTACAATGTCTAGGGGCTCATGAACCCTCTTCCTGATACATGTAACTATCCCCCACATCAAAGAAGCCTCTCTTGTCAGCAGAGAGACCATCCCAGAAAACCACTAGTCCAAACACAGAGAACTGATTATGGGCTGCTCAAGCCTCAATAGACACATCTGTAATACAACTCCTGTACCTAGGCTCATGGAACACTATGGAAAAGGAAGACTTTGAGAGCCAGAGGAACAGGAAACCTGCTGTGAGCTCAGATAGTGTCTCCTAGAAATGACTAGAAAGATAGATCCACAATACTGCATATGGCTTCTAAACAAGACCCAAACAGTAACAACACTGATAAACACATTAAGGCCTCAAAACCCTAGGGGCGGGGCGGGGGAGAACTACAGGCAACTACCAACTACTGAGAGAAGGAAAATTAGTCTTCCCCAGGGATAGGCTCTTAACTGGTTATCCAATCCCACGTGGTCAGCTATGAAATCATATCCACATAGCCACACTGAACGGACTCGGCAAGTGTATTTATCTATTTGTGTTTGTGTGTGTCACAATAATAATGAAAGGAGAAGAGAACATGAATTTGAAAGGGAGTGAGATATGATGGAGGAAAAGGACAAAGGAGGGGTTGAGGAAAGGGGAGGAAAGGGGAGGAAAGGAAGCAATTATATTTTAATTAAAATAAATTATTAAGGAAAATGAGAACATCGTGAGCCACATCTCATACTCTGTACTTCAGCACTGATACTCAGCATGAGCATGTATGTACACATATACCAAGTTTTTTCTCAAAAGATAACGTCCAAGAACTGGCTTCTAGCCATGTCTCAGGGGACTGGAGTCCAGTTGTGCAGCACACACTAATGTGAACATGTACTTCGTGGGGGCTCTACATATACACCTATGCACATACACACATACACATACACACATACACACACGAACATACACAAGAACAGTATTTAGTGGGGGCTCTACACATATGCCCACACACACACATCCACACCCACACAAACACACTAATGTGAATAGTATTCAGTGGGGGCTCTACACATACATGCACATACACAAATATCCGGGGGGCTCTACACACACACACACACACACACACACACACACACACACACACACACACACACACACACACACACACACACACACACACACACACACACACACAAACACACACACACACTTTAACATGAATAATATTCAGTAGGGCTCTACACATATGCATGTGTGCACAAACACTCTAATGTGAACAATATTCAGTGGGGCTTTACTCTCTCTCTCTCTCTCTCTCTCTCTCTCTCTCTCTCTCTCTCTGTGTGTGTGTGTGTGTGTGTGTGTCTGTTTCTCTATCTCACACACATATGCAATGTGCATTCACTGTTGCTATTCAGTGGGGGCTCTCCACCTATTACAAATGATAGACTTCTGCCTAGACAGCTCAGTAAACTATGTGGCAGGCTTGTTCATAGCTATATAGCTGGCTCCTAGGGAATGTCAACATGTGGCTAAGGCCAAACTGAGACCCTTTAGGAGAGTGATGGGATTCAGAGGTACAGGTTTGGAATACCCGTAGTCAGTCACTCAGAGCCAAGAACTGAGTTAGAGGAGCTGAATGCTGATAAAAAGCCCAGGATGGCAGAATCCAGCAGTTAAAACCGATTAACAATTGGAACCAGGTGGTCCTGGATGGTGGAACAAAACTACTCGTGAGGTCACCAACCCTTCCTATCTGGCTGGGGCTGTACAGCTGTGTTCTCACTGCCTTAAAAGTAATGCCTGAGCACCAGCCAGGATTTAGTTTATGCAAAGGAGATCAAGGTTAATATTCCTCAAACTCCTGTTAAGACTCTGAGGTGCAGTCCAGGCTCAGAACCACTTAGCACACATCCAGGGGCTCCCCAACTCCTGGGCTTACTAAAACATGTTTCACATCTGATCTGCAAGATCTTGGGGGTCGAGCCTGAGAATTCCCCTTTGTGAGACTTCTGATGTGTGGCATTGATGGTCCTGGGTTCACAATCTGAGAACCTTTGTGATAAATGATATGAATGCTTAACAAAAATTCCATACTGACAGAAAAGTGGCTACACCACCACTGAAGCAATGTTTGTCTTGAGTTTTAAATTTTGAATAATGAATACAGGAAAATGCTGTCCCAAGCATCTTAGGGACATCCAGGGCACTGTAGGGTGAAGTGGTGGTTATAAGGACATGGGCTATACAGATCTGGGCAGCCCTCAGCCCTGCCTCAGTTGGAACAACTATCGAGTTTTATTCAGATTAGGTGACGGGCCTGGTAGAAGTCCCTCAGGAAGATGAAAATGATACTTAGAAAATTCTAACAACCACTATAGATTTTTCTGGAAAGTAAGAAAAGGCATAGTTAGTTGATGTGCCTAGACTGTCTGTCATGCTGTAACACTGACCACACATGCCAAGTTCAGAGATCTGTGCTTTCAGATTCTGCTCAAGAAAGGAGGGCCTATGAAAAAAGGGTGAACTACACTGTGTATGGAGTGGTCTGTTGACAGAATACAACAGGTACAGGAGCAAATCTCAGCAAAGGAGCAATAGAGAAGCATCCAAAGTCCCGATGGTCCAGAGTGAGCATGCCCTCCTGCTCACACACCTGCCTGGGGACTGGAGGCCTCTCCTTGACCACGGGCCATGGAGAGGGTGCTCAGCCACACTCATGAGTCTCTACAGCCCCACACTCTTGCATCCACAAGAACCCTCTGACTTCACCTCACAGGATGAGAGAGACTCAAGGAGATTCTGGGGACACAAAGCTGCTCTCAGGGGACTGAGTGCTGTCTGTGTTCAGGTCACAGCAGTGCAGGTGACCCGGAAGTCACCAAGATGTTCAGCAAGTAGGGGTGACAAGAACAACAAAGGGAGCTGTCACAGCACTGCACTCTACCATGTGCACTAGGTACTTTAGCTGTGACAGCCTCTGCTGAACAAGCTTCAGACAGTATCCTAAATGTCTAGGCCCAGCTGGGCACTTCCCACAGAACTGTGTTAACAAAAGCCCTGCTTAGTAAATCCAGCCCTCATAGCTGCCTGGCCTCCTTCAGCAAGAATCTATGAGGTCAGTTTGGTCAGGACCCCCTTCCCCAAATGCTTCTTTCAATTCCTTTCTCTCCACAGACTCACTGCTCTTTGGCTGGGATTCCTCCTCGCTCTCTACTAAAGCTGCACTTGGCCTCCAGCATGTCTCTCCCCACTCTACCCCACTGACTTCTACAGAGAACCACCTGACAAAGGGAGCAAACGCTATCTCAATCCAACAGAAAAGCACTCAAAGTTAGTTCATCGGGTTCTTGATGGGCATAGAATTCTGTGGAACAGCAGCAGCAACAAAACACCCCCAAACACTCCAAATGCCTCCTTGGGCCTTCTGCCTGGGTGGCTAGCAAAGAAGGCGCCCTGGATTAAAGGCATTCAGATGGCGCCAGTGATCTCCCCCTGCATCTCTGGCACACAGTCATGCTGGGTCTGAAGACAACACATAAGGCATGACCTCCAACAATGTGTGCATTCTTGATGCTGCCAGGGGACTTGCTTTCCTCATTAACACAGGGCCCTTGAAGCCACCAAGGAGGCAATAAATTGAAAAGCTGTTTCTTGGAAGGCTGCTAACAGTGCTCTCTGCAAACAAGGCAACTCTGACCGTGGGTAAGCCACTGTGCTTGGTGACTGAAAAGGCATCAGGATGTCTTCCTTCCTGATAGAGATCATCTGAACACAAAATATAACTGTCCCCCAGTTTTCATGGAGATTGGTTCCAAAACACTTCATAGATATCAAAATCCAGGATGGCCAAGTCCCTTTTGTGAAATGGTGTAGAATTTGCATATGCCCACTCTGCATGTAAGAAAACATCTGCCCATGTTATCACAGGCACCATGTTTTCTAACACTTCCTACTTGCAGATGGATGAATCTGTAGCTGGGAAACCTGTGGAGAGATGCCAGATGCAGACACATTCACCTAGCAGTTACAGCTGCAAATGCTGGCTTCTGTTGGCTAACCACTGAACTGCTTTTCCCTCACAGCCACAGAGAGCAGCCACCACATACCTGACCATGAACTTGATCAGCATCTGTCTCACACTGCCTGTGTGCTGGGGCCAGAGACACAGCTGTAAACAGAGGGAACAGAGGTCCTGGTTTCCAGAGACAATGCTGTGCTAGGGCCCTGAAGATGCAGTGTCTCAGCTGGTCATCAGTTCAATGAAAGCAAAATCATCATGACTACCAAATGGTGCATTTATGCAGAGTGGTCCAGCCGGCGCTGTCTATAGAGAATGGAGGAAGAGTGCCCAGGAAACACTGCCAGAATAGGCAAGACAGAAGCTAAGGGAGTCAGTTTGAGGAGTAGTAAGTTGGGAAAGGTCTGTGGCATATGCTATCCCTGAGATGAGGGATCTTTGGGTTTCTCCTCTTCAGAAGGCTGGCTCTAGGCCAGACTGAGAGAACATGACTGGAGAACAAGGATGGGACACTGGAAAAATAGGACACTATGGTGGAAGGGTGGATCCTGAGCCAGGTCACCAGGGTGGACTGGTGGAGAAGCCAGGTATACCACAGAACCTCCATCAAGGGGCAGCAAGGTGCCACTTAGGTAGAGGATGAGAGTGAGTTTGGGCCATTAGAAGCCAGAGCTGAGGTCTAGAATGACCTCTTTCCTGGGATGTACTTATCAAAACTCACCAACCTAGTGTCTGTCTTGAGGGGCCACCCCACTATGGACAGGGGAGGCTGCATCCTACATTGGTAGCAGAGCTAACACATATGAAGGATAAACAAAAGACAGCAGGGATTCAGAGGAGAGCCCTATGTCCAATCCATGTTGTCATAGAAGCTTAGGCACTTTAATCTCTGCACCTCAGTCTTCTCACTTGTAGCCCTGGCTGAAATAGAGACCGTGCAACAGAGAACAGTGCTCGAAATCTGTTGATCACTCCATAGGTGGTGGACACATATGTACACACAGTTTCTGAAGCATCAACTTTACAGTGGGGTTACTTGTTGGGACCGTATATGGAAATCCATTCCGTCCTGAGTTCAGAAAGCTCAACTGGCTCCTATTGTCTCTAGGACATTAGCTTAAGGCACATACATTAGCTTAACCCTACAGGATGCTCTGGACTCGTGGTGAATGGGTCCTATCTAAATAACAATAGACTTGGGCCCAGAAGGTTTAACTTTCATCCTGAAGGCTAGGTGATACATACAGCCAAGTAACATGCAGCTACAAGTGTCTTTAGAATTAAGGGAAGTAATGAATCTTTGCCCCTTATACATGATAATAGAAGTCTTCTGCCTTTGTCCTCACTGTTTGGTTGAATGGTATATGAATAAACTAGAGGCATTCACTATGGACTGGAATTGCCCTCCTGACAGATATTCTGTGTTTCTGACTTTTAATTCTTTTAGCTAGCTAGTCTTTCCCTCATCCACACTCCCCTACTCAGGAGCGGACCCAGGGCTGCTTGACTGGTCCCGACCTCAGTCCCACAAACACCAGTCTGTGACAATCACCTGTGTCAAACCCCTCATGAGTCAAGGCACAAGCAGACCCACGATGGTCTGACATGTAATTTCTGACTTTTCAGTGTGTCTGTCAGGAGGGAACCTGTGGAATGTGGATAAACATGTGACTAGCTAAAATACCTTTTCCTCTGAGAAGTGATCAGTAAGTAAGGTTAGAGAGGTGGCTCACAGGGTAGAGTGCTTACCATACAAATAGAAGGACCTGAATTCAAGTCCCAGCACTCGAATGAAAATCTGGGTGTGGCAGTGTGCACTTGTAATTCTGTAGCACTGGGAGAAGGGGGTGAAGACGAGGGTTCTAGGGGATTCTAGAGGATTCTGGCCAGCCAGTCTAGCCAACTGATTAGTTCTGTGTTGATTGAGAGACCATGCCTCAGAAAACAAGACGGAGTGCAACGGTCAACATCTGGACTCCATATGTACGCATATAAACAAACGTGTGTGCAAGCACATGCATATACACACACTTAATAATTTTAAAAAGAAAATACAATAAAAGCAGTAAACTATTATGCAGAACTTTGAAGAAAAAGGATGTTTAACTCCTACAGAACCAAAGAGCAAAGAGGTGGAGGCAGACCAAGGAGAGACTGGGAAGGCCAGAAGAAAGAAAATAGCAGATCTGGGGAGAGCCAGGGGCACTCATCAAACAAGGGAACCCAAGCCAAGTTATATGCAGGCCAGGGGTGGAGGTCCCAGGGCAGGTGAGGTTTGTGGATAGGTGTGGGGTGCTTAGCCCTGCTGTCTAGATGATACCCTGGACTGATGGGTCTGGAACAGCATAAATTCAGACCACTGAGCTTAGACCATGGGAGTTCCACTGGTTCCAGGAGCCTCTTAGAAATGACATGAACAGTTTTGATCCTTGCTTGTAAAAAGTGTGAAGATCTGACAAAGATATGGCTCAACTTCCTTCCCACATGGACCTGAACATTCCTAGGAACACATTCATTCATATCTCTGGCCTTCAAGAAGAGGCTAAGAAAACAGTGGGAGTTCTAAGCAGGCGAGCGGGCACAGGTGGAGTCCAGGAGTACAGGGTGACTACAATAGGCACCTGGGCTCACTGGAAGGCTCTTCCTGGTCTGTGTTCCACCCGTGTACTTCTATTCCTTTCAGGTAGGTAGCAGAGATACACATGAACATGAAATAGCAACACTGAAAACCAAAGTCCCTGCATCAAGTCACCCGGGCGCAGAGGGCAGTACCCACCGTGAGCGGCTCCCCCTGTAGTGCTTGCAGGATGAAGTTGCTGACCACCCGCCCGTCATTCATGTGCATTCGTGGCCCAAAGGTGTTGAAGATCCTTGCCACCCGTACTTCCACACCTTCCTGGAACAGACAGAAGGGATGTCAGGCATGTGTCTTCTGCACGGATGGAGAACAGGCTGCTTTTCACTCCCAAAAGAAAAGAGCTCTTCTGTTCTGATTCTTTAATGTGCTCACTCTAAAGCACTTGGGTGGTGATGCAGAGCTAAATCAGAGCCCAAGCTGCCTTAGATTTCACTGCGGAAAGGCCAGTAGAATGTGCACTCTGGTGGGGAAGCTATGAGACTGTTGTGTGAGGGTGACTTTACGTAAACTGCTCTCCAACAGGTGCCTAGTTTCCCATGGGGGCTGGGTCATGCCCTAAAATTTATTAAGGAATCTTCTGTCTGTAAAACTGACGACAGAAAACAGACATGTTTGTTATGCACTTCAAGTTACAGCCATGGTGCATGCCAAATGTCTGGTTAAGATGAAATGGCATTAAATTACACAGTGCAGACTAGTCTGTGGTTTCAGGAATCCACCACAGATCTCAGAGCCTATGCTCTGGGGATGGCAGGATAATGTATTAAAGAGGGGAGGAGAGGGAAAGGCAGGGATGCTGCTCTCATCAGAGGATAACTCAAAGGTGTCCACTTGCATTTAACTGATGAGACTAGGAAAGAATTGGGAGATGATGATCAGAATATGGCACTGTTCTCTAAAGAGACTGGAAAACCTCAGCGATACTACATTAGTCAAACAGTGGAGGGAGCTCCAATTGTATGCTCTTGTCCTTTTGTTCTCCCTTCTCAGGAACAAGCATCCAAAGCATGGCCTTATGAACTGACCTCTGCAAACATGTACTGCCCAACACATAAACAGGCAGCCTTGCTGATTTTTCCATCTGGACCTGAAACCATTAGGGAAGCTAACTAGAGTCAGCAACAGACTCTTAAGAGCTCACTAGAACCACTGAAGTAGCTGGAGCCACTGTGCTATCTCTGCCCAGAGCAGCCTCATAGCTTTCCAAATGGGCACTCCTAAGTTTGGAGATCACATCAAGATTAGCTAAACTGAAGGAGATAAACCCAAAGCTCCTTTCAGTTGAGACCCATTCTCTCTTCCCAGACACTGGCATCTTGTGGAATTAGTATGCCCAGCTCTGTCTTCATAGGGTCAGCAGCTTTTGACTCGACACAAAGGCAACCCATGTACAGTTCATCTGACACTCACCCTCTACCCTTGCAGTGGCATATCGAAGGTATAGCCAATAGGTGTCAGCAGGCTGGTTAGGTAGCAGTTGGGCTGCTGCCCACAGAGCCTGGGGAGAGACAGGCTGAAAACTGGGGAAGTGCTTACCAGGGCAGTATGTCATTGAAGGCAGAGCCAGTCTCTGAAGGATCAATGGACAAGCACACCCCTGTGTTCCTGATCACGTGACATCCGTCTGCACAGCCAAGCCCTGCCACCTACCACATTCGAGAGTTTCCATCATGCTGTGGTGCAGGGACTCGGCATGGACAAGGATAACATTCACAGAACTAACTACTGACTCATTCTTAACCATAGCTTCATGCCACTGTGTGCTCTGTCCTTTATGGGGTGCCACGAGTCACGGACCCAAGACTCTGAGCACTGAGGACAAGAACATCTCAACAAGTATAAGCTAGGTCAGCATCAAACCAAGTGGAAGTTAAGAGGACACAGATTGTGTGAAGCCCCATGCAGAGGGCACAAACCTAAACACATGGCTACTGAGCATAAGCTCATGGGCACAGTGGGAACACTCTAGGTTTGTCTCACCATTCTCCAGCTGTATTTAATTTTCCAAGATGTCTCATCCTGATGTTTGAAGTGGGAACGACAGCCATTCTGCTGCCACAAGGATTACACAACAGTGATGCTGCTTTGAGAACTGACCATGTCACAGTTCTTAGCCCAAGACAGATGGATGATTTTGGGTATTCAGTATCCCCTGGACAGAAAAATCTGTTGATGCTCAAGTCCTGAGCAGGATTTGCACAAAACCTTTACAATTATACATGTCATCTCTGGATGACTTCAATAGCTAGTACAATGCAAGTGCTCTGCAGAAAGCTGGTTAGGGTATCAATCAAGGGAAGCATGCATGCAAATTCAGCACTTGCACCAGTTCCCTTGTGCTTTCACTTCATGACTGGCACTAAACACTCAGGGGAGGTGTAAATGCAAGCATTTGTACCTGACCTTTGTCTGTCTCCTGATCATGCTAACTTACCTCGAAGCACCAACCCAGCTACAAACCCTGAGGTCTACAATGGTGACCTGCCAGTATGACATGTTGGTACGATAGTGACACAAACGATGTACGAGCAACCAACATTAGATTTACAGTCCCACTGAGAGATGAAACCCAAGCCAGACAATGCTCGGGTGACCAAGATCCTGAGATTGGATAGGCTAGGGGGGTTAGGGTCAAACCAAACACTATTGTTCTACTAAGGGAACTCGGAAATAAAATGATTCCTAATGATATACTGTTATATCCATAGATCAGGGCCTTGCTCAACCCTCACTAGTGACGCTGCTTGTTGCAGTAGATGGAAATTAACACAGAGACCCACGAGTGTATAATGTGACGAGAGTGAGAGACCTTAGAACACTTAGTCCTAAATGGAATGAATGTCTTCATCAAGCCCCTCCTTTCAGGGATCAGGGAGCTATATGGAAGAGAAGGTGGGAAGATTGTAAGAACCAGAGGGGCTGGATGACACAAAGGACTCAGTGTCCTTCAGACACAACAGGACTGACATACATGTGAAATCAGACTGTGGCAGCATGCACAGGTTCAAGCCAGATGGGGTTCTGGTGCTCAGAGAGCAAAGTGGACATGAGCTCCCATCGTTGACCAAGAGGCTTTCTCCAACTTATGTCTCCTTGCAAAGGAAAAATTAGTTTTCTCCAACGGAATTTCCCTAGGTATATTAACTACACTTAATGGTAGGCCCCATGCCTAGCAGTAAACGACCAATACAAAATGAACTTGGTGGTATTTTTGAAGGCTTTTTTTCTCCACATTTGTTTAGGCAACTTTTGTCTTACTGGTCTTTTGCTTGTGTGTTATGGTTTCTGATTTTCTGTTTGTAGGGTTTTGTGTGTGTGTGTGTGTGTGTGTGTGTGTGTGTGTGTTTCTTGTGATTTCGCTTCGTTACTTTTCTTTTTTAAAATTCTGTTTTGTTTGCTTTGCTTGCGTTTTCTAAAGAAAAAAAGAAGGCATGAGTTGGGCGGTGGCAGGCCCTGGAAGAGTTGGGGGAGGGGAAACCATGATCAGAATATATTGTTAAAAATTATTTTCAATTATAAAAAAAGAGGGGGATCATATACAGTGTTTCTCAGGTACCCCACCAGGATGACAAGACTACATGGTGGAATCCCACAGTACTCTGGGAGGATTATGACAGGCTTGGGGAAGAGCAACTGGATGGGACTAGTGTGCCATCCCATAAGGGTAAGGTGACATCAGACATAGCACTGTTCATTACAGTGGTTAAGTTCTGAGGTAGGGACTCATATGGCTCTGCTCTCCCTCACGACTGCTCTTAAATGTAAGCTATGTCTCTATCAAGCCGTGGATGCTCAAGTATGATCACTGCTCAATGTTGGAAAATCCTCAAAGGACAGAGAAGCACTGGACAGGCTGGGAATGGGTCTACCCAGGAGAGTGTCACCCTCCACTCTACCAAGAGCCGTCCCGCAGGAGAAGCCTGGGGTATGCTGACCTGAAGCTCTACACAGTGCTCCCAGGAATGGCAGCCCCTACTCCGCCATGCTTCCTTAGTCTTCCTCATACGCTGCACATGTGTGAAGCAATGAGAACAAGAGGCTGAATCATCTTATTCTCTGCTGCCTCTCACATTTGTACCTAAGGACAAGGTCTTGGTCACTGTGGTATGCAGCTCATTAGGCTGGGTGACTCTCAAATTCACTGTGGAGGGTGGCAGAAGGTCACATAGGCTGGGTGATGGCAGATGTGAGCCTGTAGTTGCCTGACAATTCTCTTCAATAGATCTACTTTAGCACAGTGGATCCACTATACATGGTTTCAGTCACCCATAGTCAGCAAGAAGGGTGAGTGGAGTACAGGGAGGTATTATGGGGCCAGCATGTCTATGAGTTTTACCACAGCATGTTGCTGCATTGGTGTAATTTGTTTTGCAAGTAATCTCTTACTATGCCTAACTCATATATTAAATTTTATCATAGATACATATGTCCAGAAAAAGCATAACATGTATAGACTCTTGCACTTTCAGCTTCAGATACCTGTTGGGGTTTTGAAGTATGACTTCTTCAAAAAATAACAGGGGACTACTACATGAACAAGTGGGTGGACCCTCTTATGGTTGCTATGCATCAGGTTATTATACTGACACCACTGCAAAGCCAGGAGAGAATGAATACCACACTGCAGATGCCTATGTGGGGTGGCAGGATGTGGGCAGCGGGCACCCTGGGAACAAGGCCAAGGCCAGCAAACACAGCAAGCCCTCTAGAGCCAGTTTTACCCGTGGAACTTTGGGCTTTTTGGCAGCTTATTTTCTTTTGATTTAAGTGTAATATACATAGCAACTAGTATGCTAATGCCAAAAAATGAATGAAAGGCATGCCCTCAAGGTTATTGCCCCAGATGACTTCTGACTTCTGGGTTCTGTTTCTGCTCTGTTGGTCTGTGGTTCTATGAATGGTGGCCTGTTATGCAGACTCAGCTCAGAAAGTGGGTGGGCCATGACTTCAGAGGCAGACTCACAGGGGGCTAGGGGTGCAAATGTACCCTGATCCCTGACCACAGCCCGAGGGTGAGCCCCCACATTATAAAATCTCCATCCCACAGGCACACAGAAGCAGCAAACTAGTTCCTCCCTGACAAGTTCAAACTATTCATGAAGGATGCTCTGCTCTGCCCTTTAATCTCCTAAGAGGTGTTCAGTGAGACAAAACTTGATGTATTAGGGGCTTTCACTAATTATGACAGTATTAGAAGAAGAAAATCCTTAAGAAAAGGCCAAGTTTTATTTAATAAAAACAGCTATCTAGACTTCCGTTTATCTTGTTTACATTTTCATTCCTTAGATTTACTTACACACCATGTAGAGTCCCGCTAAAAGACAATTATTAACAAGTAGACAGGGGCCAAGGACTCCCCCAGAACCTTGTTTCTACATTTTGGTACCAGGTACTCCCATAATGCCCTCTGTTCTTGCCCACTGGCTAGATGTAGACAGCAATCTACATACAGCTGTCCTGAAATGAAACTACATTCAATACCCATGGTTATTTCCCATCATGTCCTGGTCAATAAAAAACAACTTCCCGAGGACCAGAGAGTGCTGGCCCAAGCACAGAAAAAAATTGGTGAGAAAATGCACGGACCAGCACAGGACCTCACCTGGCCATGCAACACTCCTTCTGCTGCTCTGTCCAATGCTACAGGGCAAAGCCATAAGTCCACATCAGAGGTCAAAGGTAAGAAGTTGAGTGCCCAATCATGTCCAACTCATGTTATAGTAGAACCGGCAAGGGAATCTTGGCCTCCTGCTCTGTGCGTGAGATGAAACACCCATGACGGAAGCACAATGAATAAAAAGTATGTAGGAGAGGACAGGGGAATATAACCACTCCTAGAGCAACCAGCAATTCCCTTCCACACTTAATAGATGACTAGAAGGATTTTTTTTTTTTTTTTTTATCTACCCTGGCTAGGGAGCTGGCTCAAGGGGTGAAGTGCATGCTGTACAAGGATGAAGATCAGACATCCAGACCCAACAGCAAAACCAGATGGGCATGGCAGAGAGGAAACAGGATTCAAGCTGGCTAGCAAGACCAAGTGACCTGCAAGTTCCTGATACCTCCATGAAAGTGCGCCTGCACACACATGTACATGTGCCCCCCCCCCCACAAGAACATAAACGCACATATGTAATAAATAAAGATTAAAAACAAACCACACCATTCAGAGGTCTTTGATGTTAGATGCCAATGGGCAATATGACACTAGGGAAGCATGCAGTTCCCAGACCTCCCACAGTACTGGAAACGAGTTCATCTCATTTTGAAAGCAAGGAGATATGTAGAAACAGTTGGCAATGGCATTCGTCTGTAACAATGGACACCAAGCCTTCTCAACACCCACTGGCAGTTGTCACCAGCCCTGGGGTTTATCCTGTACAGAGAGTGTTTCATATGTGTCTAAAGCTCCAATGTGAGTCTCGACCAATACCTGCTTCATGTAGGCATAGCACATGGTCTCCGCGACTCGTTTGCCCTCGTCGTAGCAGGCCCGGGGTCCTATGGGATTCACATGGCCCCAGTAGTCTTCACTTTGAGGGTGGACCTCAGGATCTATAAGTAAGCATGAGAAAATGAGACTTTGTTTTTCCTCCCCCACCCAGCTCCCAGTTGTCACCAGGAACAATGTCTATTTACAGTGGGCCGAGGTAAACATTTAAAACGAAGAGACGTGCATGAGGGAAGCTCAGTGCTCTACCCCTCTTTCCTCAGTTTCGGGCTTCCTGGTATTCTCTCTGACTCAGGAAGTCACGACAGCAGTTCACACATTAAAAAGCAGATGGTCAAAGCCTCTTAATTTTGTCTTCCCTCTATTCCAGACATTATGTTAATTCCCTAAATTATGCTTAATGTTCAGATTGTGATACATCTGAAGATGTATACATGGAAGATAGATGGCACGGTTTTGTAAAGCATGTGATTAGAATAAAGCAGATACTCATAGAAAGGGTCTAAAACGAACTTTCTGTGGAGCATGATGGTTTTCACACTGGCCTTTTCTCCAACAAATCTGAGGCCCATGACTCAAGAGAGTCCTGGGCTTTGTGCAGGGCAGGTACTGGGGCATAGCATCCACTGGAAGAGAGAATTCCCCATCCTTGCTTTTCTACTGCATACATAAATCAATTCTTTAAGATGTATCCAAGGAAATAAACTATTTAAAACAACCAACCAAACTATTTAACTCATGTATTTGTAGCATATGAATACCTATTTTATCTAGTGCACCAAGACCTTCTTACACATATATGTGCATCCAACCATACTATAAAATGGATAACTCCCAAGAAATCTAGACAAAATCATAAGCAACTGTGTTATAAATCCACAGCTGATTTATTCTGCACATGGCTTGATCCCAGACTTGCCAGGATAAGGGAGAGGAGAATACATGGGTGGACCCAAGCTTGGCACATGGATCTGAGTGGCTGGGCCTTCAGGAAGTGGCTATGAGTCTGCAGTCCTGTACAGTGTAGAGTTTGGCTTGATTCTGTGAGCGGTAATTCCCCCAGCGAGAGGCAAGTTACACTCGAGAGAAGAGGTCTAAGACAAGACTCTCTGAGAAAGAAAATGAATAACTCATGTTCACAAAGATATGACCAAGATCAGGCTTTTCCTAGCTTCTGACAAGCCAGATCCCAGAGGTGATGGTCATACACTTCTGTCACGAGAGTAAGCTGGGCACAGCCATTCAGTCTTGGCACCATTCTGAGCTGGAATGCCTAGGACATCAAGCTTCTCAAAAAGTTCCTTCACACAAATCACTTCAGAAAACCATGTGGGCTGGAATGGGGTGGCGGGGGTAAAGGGCCGGGGCTGGGAAGGTAACTCAGTAAAGTACTCACTTTGCAAGCAGAAGGACCTGAGTTCTATGCCCTGCACCCACTAAAACAGAAAAAAAAAAAAAAAAAAAAAAAAGGCTGGGCGTAGTGGTACCAACTTTGTAATCTCGGCATTGAGGAGGCAGAGACAGGTAGATTTCTGGGGTCTGCTGGCCAGGCACCCTACCCTACTTGGGAACTCTAGAGTAGGTAAACAACACTGAGGAACCAGACTCCAAAGTATTCTCTGCCCTTCATAAATGCAACCTGCGTGCACATGGAATACATACATCCTCATGCTCCTATAAGTGAGCATGTGTATGTGACCATGTACACAAAGGTTTAACAAAAATGTTTCTTCATCAGGTGTGGTGGTGAGCACCTATCATCTCAGCACAAGTGGAAGTTAGCCTAGGCTATATAGCAAACTGAAGCCCAGCCTGGGCTGCATTCTGTTTCAAAGGACCAAGCAAGGGAAAACTTTCTGACCCTTGCCCTCCTGGTCTGCATTCTGTGAGGCTGCCAAGGTAGGCAGATGCTCCATGAGCAGCACTGGGGACAAAGTGCCAAATCACAGGAATCACACCACCCTCATACTTAAGACTCCCAAAGACAACGGCTCTTACCAAACATGCAAATAAACACCGGTGGGGGAGGCAGGTGTCACTGCGCCTTTTAGACAGAGAATGGGGTGGCTAGGGCCCCTACTTTGTCCTTTAATTGCTCAGGACCTCAGAGATGAGGAGGATGTGTCACACACTTTCATGGCAGACACAACTGCTTTCTGTAGAATTTTTCTATTGGCTGTGTTGTTTCTTTCTCTATCTGGCAAACTTAATTCAAAAAATGGTCTCTTCCAATGTTATACCTTACCACCCTCATTTCCCTTGTTCAGAACAATAATGTAAAGAGAGAGAAAATGCATCACATAGGTCTGGTGCCCCACAGTACCAGGTGAGGGCTCTTCCACAGCCACCTGCAGCCACCTGGTTTTGGACTGTGTAGAAGCCAACAGGGATTGAAAGTCCAGCTCCCCTCCCCATTCCTGACCCATGTTCCCAGGTGCTGAATAGCTCAGGAGGGACCAGGAATGCTGCCAGCCTGTATCATTTACTGCAGAAGCAGCAGTTCATATTCTAGGTATCAACTCCAGAATATTTGTTGCTATGAATTTGGCTGTATATAGAATATATACTGGGTCCTTTGTATTCTCAAATAGGCCCCAGAGACAGGAATTCCCTTCTCACCAGGGTATCAGCAGTAGGAGCTGCAGCCTCTGGGTCTCACACTACATACCCTTAGTTATTCTCTTCGATATAGCACTGAGAAGTCCCCTCTAATGAGTTAACAGCACGTGTTGTAAGTCACATCCCCCACTGAGACTTTCGGCTGCCAGGACATTTTGCACATCACGTCCAGAGGGAGACGTGAGGCACCTGCTTTTCTCAAGACCTTATCAGCTTTCCTGGCACTAAGAGATATACATGTGCTATTGCCAGAGAGTGGTTAAATGTGCCTGTGGATATAAAAACTAGAAATCTTGTGGGATAAGAAGGAACTTTTGGAGACTTTTTAGAAGGACCTCAAGAGAATTTTTAGAAAGAACTTCTAGAGAATTTTTAAGAACTTCTTAGGAGAGCTTTTATAGAAAGAACTTTGAAGGAGAGAGTTTATAAGGAGAAATCTTATTTAGAGCATGAGAGAACTTTTGGGTACAATACATTTTAAAGAATTAAGAGCCATGAGAGAAACATGTGTGTTAGCTGGTTTATTTCCTTTTGGCCCCCAGATCAGAACTTTTTAGCAAGCCCCTGACTAACCTGCTATAAGCCTCCTCTCTGAACCTGTTACATGATGGTGGTGGGTAGATAAATGGGAACTGAAATTTGCTGGCGCTATCTACTAAAGGCTCTTTCAGCAATCTGTCTGTAACAGGTGAAGCAACGAGCATGTGTTTATCACCACCTAGCTCTCAGGTTACCCTGCAGGCTGTTGGTGGCTAGCTAGGCAGCAGTCATTGCTCTCATTGGAGAATAATGTGCCAGCAAAAGGTGAAAAGTGACTTCATGTTGGTAATCTCTGAGATGTCTTCAGAGCACAATGGAAAAACTTCACCTCATTATTATTGGACAGCTTACGCGACCCGGGTATCACAGAGTAGGTGCCAAAAGAGCGGCTGTGCCAATAGGCTGAGCTTTCTAAATGGAATCCTAGACTCTGATTCCATCTTACCAAGACAGGATGCAAACAGCCCTGTGGGTCAGTGGGCATCTTTCAGGGGTCCCACCACTCACCTCCATATACCTCGGATGTGGAGGCCAGGAGCAGACGGGCACCCACGCGCTTTGCCAGTCCTGCAGAAAGAGTACATGTCATCAGAAAAGCTATGAGCTTACACAGGCCAGGGGGGGTGTGGGTGGGTGGTGTGTGTGTGTGTGTGTGTGTGTGTGTGTGTGTGTAATTTAAGCAATGTTTAAGTGCTACAGGTGCCTCAATGTCCACCAAATTATCTACTCCTAGTGCATCTGCTGTGGAACCACAATGAAAACATTAAAAAAAAAAAAATGGCCAACAAGAAAAATTCAAATGGGCCCTTTAAAAAAGCAGCATTTAGGTGAAAAGTGGGAGCTCTAAGCAGGGCCAGATCCAGACTCTGCTGAGCACAGTGTGGCTCCAAGAGCTTTGCATATAGATGCCTAAGCTCCAAACATGTTACCCCACACCATTGTTTTTGTCTTTTTAATTGAAAAACTATTTTTATTCATGAAATATATTCTGATCATAGTTTCCCCTCCTAACTCCCCCCTAGCTCCTCCCCCCACTTTCCATCCACCGCTTTCTTTCTCTCTCTGTAAAAAGTAGGCAAATGAAAAGCAAACAAACCACAATTTAAAAATTCTGAAAGAAAAAGCGTAAGAAACACACAGGCAGATATCCATTCAAAAACAAACACATGCAAACACAAAATTTTGGCAACCATAATACATAAGCGAAAGATCTGTTCGACATGAAATGCCCAAACAAAGCATTATGAAACAAACAAACAAACAAGACTCTCTGAGAAAGAAAATGAATAACTCATGTTCACAAAGATATGACCAAGATCACATCTTTTGTGTTGAGCATCTCTGCTGGGCTTTGGGCCTACCTTTAAAGTCTGGTTAATATACCCAGTGAGAATCCATTGGAGAAAAGTAATTTTTCCTTTGCAAATTGATGCCAACTAGAGATAGCCTCTTGGTTAGGAGTGGGAGCTTGTGTCTACTGTGCCCTCTCAGTCTGGCTTGAACCTGTGCAGGTCCTGTATGTGCTGCACAGTTTTTGTGAGTTCATATGTACATCGGTCCTATAGTGTCTGGAAGACTGTTTCTTCTGAAACACCTTTCGTGGCTACCCTACATTTTACTTAGTAACACCCTAGCAGGTTACATAGCAAGACAAGATGCTTCTCATCCTACCTTCCCAAATGGCACACCTACCGCCTCTTCTACATACTCCACCTGGGCAACTACCTGCATCCTTCTGCTGTCCTCCAGGCTCCACATACAGGCTCCTTCCAGAATGTAGCCCACAATCCCCTGTCCTGCCCCCAAACCGCTTTCCTACACTCAGCATCCACACAAGAACAACTAGACCATCGCTAAGTGTGAGGTCAAGCAAATATGGAAAGTCCTCCAAACTTACCCAGACTCCCAACATAGAGACGAAAAGCCCATCACTTTTCCTCTTAACCCTGATGCTTCCTACCTTCAAGCTGAGGGTGAAAAGATCTGTACTAAGGATGAGTCTTCTATTGCAGTAGTTGTGAAGAAAAAAGAAACGTACTAGCTTTTGCTGGTGTAAAAGTTAGTGAACTGGGTTTGAGTGCTGACTCAAGATGAGGAAGATATTAAGTTACAGGATTTGGTACAATCAAAGTTTGAGCAATCACAGTGGTCTTGAAATACACATTATGGATAGAAGTCTCACTAGCATGCACATTTGGAATTGCTTAAAATATTCCCAGAAAGAAAAAAAAAACAGGGAAAACTTACTGACCCAACATATTCAATGTTCCAATTGTATTAGTCTTCAGAGTCTTGATGGGGTTGTACATGTAGTTTGGGGGAGAGGCTGGAGACGCCAGATGGTAAATCTGATCAACTAAAGGAGGCAAAAGAGAAGTGTGTTATTTTTAAGAAAAAACAGTTTTGTTTCTAAATCATGAACTCTTGGGCCGTGACAGTTTGGCTTATGCTGAAATTCTACTTGCTAATATATGGTTGCCACTAGACACCAACTACATTCTTAAGAACTTCAAACAAAGCAAACACTAATAATAAATCACAAAGAAATTTATTTTAGAAAAATGCTTTAGTATGTGTATAATTACACTAAAGAGATGGATGTGACTTTTCCTTTTACATAAAGAATCAAATCTTGGTTGACATTGCTACTGTGGGGCATAAGCACCTTCGATGCTTTTCAGAGTTGATGGAGATTCTGACTTCAGAATCATCCATGCTGAGAACATCTCTTCCTGGAAGTGTGTTTAGGACAGCTCCAAAAAATTCAGAAGCGCTGGCTGTTTCCAAGTTAGCAACCCACATAGCATTCTTTACAGAAATCAAACACCATAACATAATGCAACCCACAGTATTTGATAATTCTGTGCTGAGGACAAAAAAAAATATTTTGCCTTTGGTAAAAGAAACAGTTCATAACACAATAGTCTCAAATATGAGCACTGGCTGGCATGGCATGGCATGGCATGGCACTGCATTGCAGGAATTGCATTGTACATGTGCATGCTGTGTGTTCAGTTCAAGCTACAGAGAAGCTGCACAAGGAAACATGGACAAATACTGCCAGAAATGCCTCGGATTCATTACAAGTTTGATGTTTCCTTTGTTTGTTTTCTTTCTTTCTTGACAGTCTCATGTAGCCCAGGACCTTGAACTCCTCTTCCCCTTGCCTGTCACTCTGAAGTGCCTGGATTCCCAGTATGTACCTCAACTACAGAACAAGTTGAAGTCAGCCTGGGCTATATAAGACCTTGTCCAATGAGGGCGGAGCCAGGGAACTAAGAAGAAGAGTGTCTCTTGTGAGCCCACTGCACTTCTTTGACATCAAACAGAAGCCATGAAGCTGAGAGCTGCCCTCCTTCCCACCACTCAAGCCTAGCTCTTTTCAAGGCTCACGCTGATGCCAGTTTGTACAGGAAACTTCCTGCTGCCCTAGTCAGAAATAATCTCTCTTGGGCTGGCCACTCATGCCGCTTTAACCAGTGACTTCAACGGTCAACTGATCTGTCCAGCAAGCAACAAGCTACTTGGGTACTGTTTTCCTACTTCCATTCAGCAGTGACCTCAGACCACAAACACAGAGTCCCAAGCCCACTGCAGTGATCAGCACAACCCCTTGGTGGACCTGGAAACAGTCAATAGAAAACAAAAAGTCCCCCATGGTGCTTCAGTCCAGGCCCCTGGGAGCAGTACAGAGTTAAGAGAGCAGTGATATAAGATATAAACTTGGGCTTGTCCCTCTCCCTCCAAAGCTACTCTTTCTGGTTCATTTTTCTGCCATCTGACACATTGGACCTCCTGATTCTCCTGGAAAGATAAGGGGTGTCCTGCACAGTTACATCCGGACCCTGGCTTAAGCAGGATTTACGTGCAGTGGCCCAGTTAAGAAGAACTTTAACACTGCATGAAAACCCAGGTACTGCAGTGCCTGTTTCCCTGTGCACATGTGTTCTGCCTGTAACGGTGCCTGCAATACCCCTGCTCCTGTCCTAAAAAGGACATTGCATGGACTGTTGACTTAATGTGCTGAGGAATTACGAAGAGGAAAGGGAACCTTCAGAGTAGGGGCAAAACCAAGTACAACTGTGAGATGCCTCGAGCAGTATTAATAGCTGGCTCTGGAATGTAAATAAAGCTACCAAGTTAATAACACTCAGCATCCAGAGAAAAAAGCCTGAGAACATGTCAGCTGTGAGTTCAAAGCACAGTAAAAAACAAGCGTCACACTCAGGCTGGAAGTGGGAGTGGCCTGCCAACTCACCCACTGCATCCATTGCTCTGTGGTGTCTCTGGATGTGGGTTGCCAGTGCTGCTGCCCTGACCCTTTTGTGTTTACAAGGCTATGAGCTGTGGTCTTAGCTAGGAAAAAGAACCTGGAGAAAAATCCTTGAGACCTCCGATCATAAGGCATGCCTCCCAGAGGCAGGTGCTTGCCTGTGGGCTGGGAAGAGTGGGGCAGGAGGGCACTGAGGCTTGCCAGGGAAGAGGGAAACTGGCACTGGAAAGGAGCTTCCTATGTGCCCTGCAGATAGAAGAACTCCCAAGGGAACCCACAGCCTTTTTCAGAGGCCACCAGAGAAATCAGGAGTTGTCTACCTCCTGTCACAGATCCTTATGCAGCCAACAACAGAATAACATGCTCTCTTGGTGACCCAGGTGGTACCAAGGTTCCTGTGGGATGATGCCTGTGCTATTAACAGCACTGGTACACACCAGTTAAGGACTGCATCACGACACTGAGGACTGGCATTACTAGGAGTCTCTCTGTGAAAATGTACATAGAGAAAGTTTCTGTAACATTCTCTTTTCTATACTCCAAGTCAAAGACCTGGCAGAAATGTGGTTAGCCCCGTTTCAATAGGATCTATATCCACAAATAAGACCAAGCATAGAGCAAAACTATCCCCAGGATAGTTTTCTGTACTGAACACATGCAGCCTTTCCCTGTCATGATTCCACTATAGCAACTGTTTCACAGCAACCATGGTGCATATGATACACTAAGTGCCAGGTAGGTGTGCATAGCGTCTGTGTGGGACCTGAGCATCTATGGATGCTGTATCCATGGGGATCTGGGACCATCCTCCAAGGGCATTGTCTTAACTAGGGTTTGTATAGCTGTGATAAAACAAACACTATGACCAAAAGCAACTTTGGGAGGGAAGGTTTATTTCATCTTACACTTCCACATCACAGGTCATCACTAAAGGAAGTCAGGGCAGGAATTCAAGACAGGAACCTGGAGAGTGGAACTGATACAGAGACCATGGAAGAACAAGCTTAACTGGCTTCTTCTTCATGCCTTACTCAGCTTGCTTTCTTACAGCACCTAGGCTTACCAGTCCAAGGGTGGTACTGCCCGCAGGAAGTTGGGACCTCCAATATCAATCAAGAAAATGTCCCACAGACTTGCCCAAAGGACATTCTGGTGGGGATATTTTCTCAGATGAGATTTCCTCTTCTCAAGCCACCCTAGCTTGTGTCAAGCTGACAATGAACCAGCTAGCACAGGGAGGACTGTTTTGGATGTATTCCTGGCATGGGGCTCCACAGAGTAGCCCAGCCTCATCCTTGACAGCAGCATTTACAGTGAGAAGCAGGATTCCAGGACATGTGCAACCTGCCACAGTCCTCTCAGCTCAATGGAAGAATGGGATTGGGCCTTGCTTCCTATGAAACTGAACTTCATATGAAGGCTGCATATGCCAGAGGCCTGGCTCAGTCTGGGGCTGGGGCATTTCGGGGCTCCACACGAAGCTCTCTGCTGCAAATTAAGCAACATCTTCAGTAAAAATTTATTCAGTAAAATATATACTTCAGTTTGTATTTTACACTTCACCATAAAATGAAAGTTGAGACATTAATTCATCAATTACAATATTTAACTAAAATATTCTCATGAACACAACATGATGCTTACACCTGATGCTTAGGTCACCAAGGACCCAAGCCTCTCTGTAAGCACACTTTTCCAAGCCTGCTGTACACCTGGGTGCCCAAGAGATGTAGCCCAGCACCTCTTACTTCCCCTTCCCTGGTGTCCTTTCCCATGGCCTCTCCTAGCATTGAGGTGTTTGGTAAGGGGTTGCCGTGGCTTGGTGTAAATGAGGGTAACCACCGCTGTCACAGGAGCACAGGGAAAGTTGAGCTGGCAGAGCAGGTAGTGTTGGTCTTCAGTGCTGCTGATCACTCTCGCCCCTCCTCCCCTGGGCTCTCTCACGTGTGCTGCTGCTGTTGGAGTGAGGCATAAGTGTCGCTCGCTCTCCACATCTGTGCTTACCCACATGCTAGAAAACCAACATGGAAGAGCTCCCGGCAAGGTGTAGGCTCTTTGCCTCAGGAGCCTGAACACGAGTCCTAGGATGTATTCCAGGGGCACATAGGATGGCTTTTGAAGCAGGTTTCTGACAGCTTCAATTACCAACAATCTAACACCCGACAAAGAGAGTGAGACTATATACTATGTTCATACGATGAGTCTTTGTAGTATCATTGACGTGGGAAGTGTCTTTGTAGGGAGATCTAGGAAGGCCGCACAACAGACCACCAAGCACCTGCTGAAGACAATTAAGCAGCTTTCAATGGATGACACAGAACAGGGCTATATTATAGGCTGCTTTCTGAAGAAAGGAGAGGCAAGAATATCCACTTATATTAGCTGGTCACCAGCAGACACTGCCAATGGAAAACATTATCCGCAGCAGTTTCCAAGGTCCAGTCGGGACTGGAAATTTAAGAGACTGTTTACAGCATGTATTTTTAATTTTGCATAAATAATACCTATTTAACTTCACTGGCATTAAACCTGCTTTTAAAAGAATGGCGGGAGGCAGAGGCAGGCGGATCTCTGTGAGTTGGAGACCAGCCTGGTCTACAAGAGCTAGTTTCAGGACAGCCTCCAAAGCCACATAGAAACCTTGTCTCAAAAAACCAAAAAAAAAAAAAAAAAAAAAAAAAAAAAAAAAAAAGAATGGCTGGATGCTAAATTCAGCAGATTCATTTCTCAAATGAGGATTCAGGGTAATTTTCTTTAGCTTATGATTTGTTTCCAAATTTCCTTTAATATGTGCTTTATTTTCATCACTAGGAAAGAACGAATAATCATTTTTAAAGATAAAAAAATTATCTTTCATTTAATTCTTTATCAATTATATATCAGCAAGAAACTGAACTTCTGTTTAATCCAATAAACTTGTATGTTTGCTGCATGTACATATACAAACATGAGTGTGCAGGTGTGCAAATTGTGTGTGCACACACAGGCCAGAGTGGGTCCTAGCATGTCTTCCTACATCATGCTTCACCTTATTGCCTGAGTCAGGGTCTCTCACTGATCCAGAGGCATGCTGTCTGGGCTAAGATGACTGGCCAGTGAACTTCCGGGATCCACTTGTCTCCACCCCAATCCTGGGGGCAGAAGCATGTAACTCACACCCAGGATCTCAAGTACGCAGAGCAAGCACTTGTACTCACTGAGTGGCCTCCCCAGCCCCAGTTAAATGGCCCATGTGCCATCTTTGAGAACCCGGGCTCCCAAGTTATCTTTCTGCCATGTACTCTGGGTTTACTTTCAGTGTAAAATCACAGGACACTTCATGCGTTTTCTGGGCTTGTTGTACGGTATGTTATGGAACGGGAAATGATCAATCTTGCTGAATGCTACAAGTGAGCTCTTGAAGAATGCGCTCCTGCTGCTATTGGTTGAGGGAGATGGAAACTAGAAGGGAACAAAACTACCAAATCCTGGAGGAGCCCTTGGGTTGGCACCCAGGCTTTACACTACCGAGTAGAGAAACAGCTTCAGTTTCCCAATATTCATGACAGTCTCAGCAAAGGACTAAGGATGCAGCCATTTCTGTGGTCTGCTCAAGGCCAGCAGCAGTGAGTTACCTCCCACTGGCTTCCATGGCTCTGCAGGTCACCTCCTGGCAGTTCTGCACCCAGTCGCCATGCATGACTATTCCACTTTACCGTGCTCCTTTCAGGCATGTGGATGACTGGAGGATGACTCGACTGTCTCACATGGACTGTATTTTGCAGACCGTTCACGGCCACCTAGCAGGCACCTTTAGAACCCCTACTGCTAGGACAAGGCAAGCATTTCCTCAGCTGACCTACAGTCCCCCACAAGGAAACCCAGGGAGGGCAGGTCCCCTGATCCATTCTGTAGGAACTACAGTTCAGTCCCGAGATGAGCCACTCCAGGCCAGTTAAACAAGTTGAGTTTTAAAAGGACACTGGGGGCAGGAGGACCCAACAAAGAATGCCATGGCTATGTTTTAAAACACAGCAGATCACATAACCTTGTCGTCTTGAGATGTCCCATGCTGGCCTCCAGTCTCCCTCAGGATCACAAGTACCCATTACACAATTCAAAGTCCATGCTAGCATCCTAGCTCTTCTCATCCCCCTCCCGCCCCCCGTAACTCCTCTAGCACACAGGCTAAGCACCACTGCTCCCCCAACTATGAAGTCACCTCATAACCCTGCTATTTCAAGCTCTGCCCTCTCTCTGTCTCCCTGCTCCCCTCCACTCTCTCCTCCTGTCTTCTCCCCAGCTTCTCTGCCCCCTCCACCCATGTTCTTTGCTGCTGCTTCTCTCATGGCCAGGTCCATTCTGCTGGCTACGTTTAGCCTACTACTTTTTCTGCTCTGGACTCTTCCTAGATGCCTCTGGCTACTCTCTTTCTCTCTCATATCTACAATGAAAATCTCCCCCTTAACCGTACTATGGAGCAGTCATGTCAGTTTTTACATAAAGGAGATGAAGTATCATTTGCAGGACGCATATTTAGACTGTTGTCTAAACTGTTGTCTGAACTGAGGAGATGAAATCACAAAAAAGGTATTTATGAAAAAACACACAGAAGGACCTTACATAAGACTGCATAAATGCTGTACAGCCTCAGCACACTTCTTCCCAGGTAGCAATGTGAAGGCAGAAGCTTGCACTGTATCTTCAGTGGTGGTGGTGGTGGGAGTGGGTGTGGCTACAGAAGCCGGGACTCTAACCACCCAAGCAGGACTCTATTGACTGTGGCAGGCTCCAGCTAGTCTGGGGTTTCTGTATCCTTAAGGGAGGTGGAGTGTGACACCACTTAGCTCCTGTGCTACTGTTAGATTAACAAGGGCATGATCTAGGTCCCCGGATGGCAGTTCTCATCAGCACACTATGGAGGGCTTCAGAGGACGCTTTCAATGTTATCTAAGGCCTCTGGACTCATTTCCTTTGATAGATGTGACTGATACAACATAACTAGCGGGTAAAACACCAGGTGTTTACTTTCACACAGTTCTAGAAACCAGACGTCTGGCACAAGGTTCTGGCTGTCCATGAGCAAAGGCTGGAAGGGGAAACTTCCATTTTAGGGCTGGGGCTGCACAATGGCACTCGGCCTGGACCTCCACAGGCCCTTCTCCCCGGGGGGTCTGTGCCCTTCTTGATTTCTACTGTAAGGTCAGCCCCACTGAAAGTGAGAGCCAGACTGCGCCTCTCCATCATCTATGCAAAGATCTGCTTTCCTCAGAAGAGCTCACAATAGCTTCTGCAGAGCCACCATCCACCCACTACTGCCCCAACCACAATCTTGTAAGTGGCCAGGGTCCCTGAAGGCTTTATATATTTAAAACTGAGATTTTATTATTCAAAAGCTTTAAGAACAGTGTTCTGGCTGGGTGGTGGTGGCACATGTATTTAATCCGGGAGGCAGAGGCAGGTGAATCTCTGTGAGTTCTGAGTTTGAGGTCAGCCAGCTCTACAGAGTGAGTTCCAGGATAGCCAGGGCTACACAAAGAAACCCTGTCACAAACGAGACAAACAACAAACAAACAAAAGTCCTAAAACAACAACAACAAAAACCCCACAGTCTTTTGTCCCTGTATCAGAACAGCAAACATAGTTAACTTATAAGAGAAACGGGTTATTTTGGCTGACAATTCTAGAGGCTATAATCCAAAATCAGATGGCTTCGTGATCTGAGGACCTTGGGAAGGGGCCACATCATGGCACAAGCGTACAGTGGAACAAAACATTTTTATTATAAACCCTGAGGCAGAGAAAGAGTATGAGCTAGGTCCCACAGTCCTCCATTTAAGAGTATACCCCTGACAACCAAAGGGCTTCTATATGCCATCCACCCCAAAGGTCCACAGTGCTTGCCAATAAAACCACCTAATAAAACCAGAGCTTTATAGATGGACCTTTCATCCATTTTGTAGTAGTCAACTTACTGTAAGATACTTAAAATAATGACATGCAAGCATCAAGCATCGGCCTTAGAAGAGAGCAGGGATGTTGTCTTAGTTCACTCAGCCTACTATAATGAAATGCCAATATGCTGCTGGTATGTAAAAAAAAAGGAATCCATGTCTATTGACGCTGGGAAGTCAAAGACAGTGGTGCTTGAAGATATGGGGTCCTAGGACTCACTGTCTCACTGTGTTCTAAGGGTAGGGATGCTTTTAACATTTTAAGAGCACTAATCCCTTTATGAGGGAACCATCCCCATGAAATGATCATCCTCCAATGCCACCTGTTACAATAAATCTTTCCGCCAAAAGCCGCTGAGCCCCACCGCCACGTGTATGCTTTATGCCAGCAGCCTGCCCGAGTTAGGTCCAAATAAATACACAGAAACTTGTATTAGGTGTAAAGCTGCTTGGCCAATGACTAGGATTCTCATCTATTAGCTCAGTCTTAATTATCATAAATCTATATATTTTATAAGACTTATCTTATCGGACACCTTATTGGCGTCCCTCCTTGTCGGTGGATCACATCTTGCCGCTGGAGGAGGCGAACGGGGAAAAAAGGACCCTTTCTGTTTCTCCTTCGCTTAAATATGAGTCTCCTTGCTATGTCACTTCCTGCCTGGATCAGCATTTCTCTACTACATTTCCCAGAATCCTCTTTGACTCCTAGTTCCGTCTAACTTGCTGTCTCATTGGCAATAAGATAAACATACACAGCAGTACATTCCCCATCAGCCACCCTTCCCAGCACCATCACCCTAGGAATCAGAACATCAACACGCACACATGTGGACCATAAATGTCGTGTACCACACAGGCTACATCCATACACCACTTTCAAGACTTGGGAAGCCACATGACAGTAGACGGTAACCACCCTTCTTACGGAAACTAGGACTGTACCTTACATAGGACAAAACATCAAAAAATAAATTGTAATAGCAATCACCTTCAATGTAGAGGGGCTCCACCACGTCATGGTTAATAAGCTCGAAGTTCTCATGGCCAATCCAGTGTTCCACATTTCTCTTCCTGCCTGTGAAGAAGTTGTCCACCACGGTCACCTCATGGCCATCCATCATGAGTTTGTCAGTCAGATGGGACCCCACAAAGCCCGCACCTCCAGTGATCTGTATTGGGACACCCCCAGAAAAAAACAGTGATGACATGGAGACACAGCTTTGGCGTAAAACTAAAAATTTGGCAGCAGGTAAGGTGCAAACATGAAAGGCTTTGTGGCAGCATCTTGACATACTCACTCCAGAGCAAAGAGGCCTTACTACCTGAACACTGCTTAGCTGTCTTCGACTATTAAGACAACATTCAAGGACCAGCACACACACAAAAAAAAACAGGTACTCAGTTCAAACCATCTCTATCAGCAGAGTTGCACAATACAAAAGCCTGTTTTACAACACACAAAATACTATCTGCTGCAGCTGACCTTTCCATATCTTCAGGGTCCACATCCATTGATCCAATGGATCTGGACTGGAAATGGTCTATGATGGCTGTATCTGAACTGAACACAGGTGATTTCTTGGCATTGGTCCCTGAGTGATATGGTATCACATAGATGTGAGTGTAATTTACACTGTGTTAGGTACAGCCATCTACAGATAATTGAAAGTGCAGAAGGGGGGCACAGGTTCTACGTAAATACCAACCCGGGCCACATAAAAAGGCACCCATGGGGCCCTAGAAGCCATCCTTTCTGGTACTGAGGGACAATGATTCACAGCTATAAAACCATTACTGATAATGTTTAGAATCACTTTAGTAAAGTGTCAGCAAAGTACAGGCTTGGCTAACTACCAAAAGTAGTGTGAATTTCAGTTATACTTTAAAAAGATGTTATGCAAAACTAGCATTCTCCCAATTAGTTCTAGGAACAAGAGAGAACTATAGAAGTTCTAGAGGAAAGCCATAAGCAATGCTATGTTGCTGCTTGGTTACATCTGAGTCAGAACAGAAACATGAGTGATGGGGGAAGTCCTTCTGTATGTACGTTTCTCTTACTGGTTGATGAATAAAACACTGATTGGCCAATAGCCAGGCAGAGAGCATAGGCAAGGCTACCAGACCAGGAGAAAGCTGGGGAGAGGAAGAGAAAAAGAGGGGTCTCGGAGAGATGCCATGTTGCCGAAAGGGTAACATGCCAGATTATGAGTAAGCCACAGCGTCGTGACAATACATAGATTAATAGAAAGGGTTATTAATTAAGACAGAGATAGCCAGTAGGAAGCCCTAGCTATCAGCCAACAGTTTATAAATTAGTATAGGTCTTTGTGTGTTTATTTGGGCCTAATCGGCTACAGGTCCAGGCTGAAAAGAAACTCCAGCTACACATGAGGACTACAGCTCTCCTCTCCAGAGCCAATGAGGCACCAAAGAGGCCAGCATAGGAGGCCAGCAGCAACATGCTTCCTAAATCCTAACTAATCAACACAAATGTGCCATACTGATTATGTCTGAAAATGAAAAGAAGAATTCACTCAAATTCAATGTTCCCATGGGTGGAGGGTTAGCGTAAGGTTGCTTCCTTCTGGGCAGAGAACGGGATATGGGAATGCAAAGCACCAGCTCAGGAGGGAGATAGTGATGGCAGCCACTATCCGGTCCTGTTCTTTCTCCACTTAGATTCCAGTATAGTGATGTCCTAATTCTCTACTAGTTCTGGGTAGGCTGAGGCAAGAGAATTAAAAGTGCCCACCTTCAAGTATTTTTTTGCAGCAATATACTTATATTCTACCTATATAAAGTAAAGTACCTATAATAAAATGATTTTCTGGGAAAATATCAAGTACTAGACACACTGTAGTACCTGACTCAGGGAGTAAAAGCTCATTTCATTTAATCTCTTCTTCCCAATGGTTCTGGGGGTTGAACCCAGGACCTCACACATGCTAAGTAAATGTTCTCCTCAGAGCTGTGTACACCCAGCTCCATGGCCATCTTTTGCTTGCTGCTTTTCTTTTCACTCTTGAGACAGGGTCTTGCTAAGTTGCCTGAACTCACTTTGTAGTCCAGGGAGGCCCTGATTTAGTGATTTTCCTGCCTCAGCCTTCTGAGTAGGCAAATTGCCAGCCGGCCAGAGGTGCCATCAGCTCCAGCAAATTTTCAGCTGCTTTGCCCTGTTCTACTTCCCCAAAAGATCCATGGTTACAGACTTAAAAACTCTCACTGTTTTGACTGACACTCCACGTACCACTGAGCAAATGCTTCTGGGGTAAGCTTCTCTGTGGTACTCTTGTGTCTTTGCAGCCGGAAGACCTGCAGACCTATGTATATTATAATGCTCTAATCGTAAATTTTATTCTGTCAGACAATTGTTTCAAATGGAAACAGTACCAGCAGAAGTTTAGCCTTTACGAAGCTTCTCCAGGAAGACCAACAGTGAACCCAAACGTGGCACAGCTCTGAACTCACCAGCTCATCTATCTCAACGTGCGAGTACTTCCTGCTCTTCTGGGAACTAACGGGTAGCTCAAAAGTCTTGTTCAAGGTGAGCGTTTAACTTACGCTGCCCAGAAAAATCAACAAAAATAAATTTCCAGACAACCTCCTCTGTGTCTAAGGCTTCAACCATTATGCGAAAGGCCTTAGGTTTTTAGCAACAACATGCCAGACTCAGGCACCAAATGATGCTAAAAAGTCCTTAACGCATGAGATGGCAGTTGTACTGAACATTCTAAGTGCATTTGTGGAAGTAAGGTATAAAGAGCAAGAAAATCTGCAAGAAAACCTTGGCAAGACCACGTGGTATTTACCTACCAGTCAGTGTGCCTATGTCCATCAAGTTCCCTTGCCAGAAACTCACTTTGGGCTGGGCGTTGGTGGCACACGCCTTTAATCCTAGCACTCGGGAGGCAGAGGCAGGCGGATCTCTGTGAGTTCGAGGCCAGCCTGGTCTCCAGAGCAAGTACCAGGATAGGCTCCAAAGCTACCCAGAGAAACCCTGTCTCGAGAAACCAAAAAGATAAGAAAAGAAATTCACTTTTATATATATGAAAGAAAAACACTGCTGGGAGGTGGAGCCAAAAGCCATTAGGGAACTTCCCTCCTGGGTGCATCAGTGCCACTTCTGCAGTAGTAGGGCCCTTATACAAGCGGAGGCTCAGCCTCTGTCTTCCCTTGCCCTCTACTTCTGCCCCTGGGTGAAATGGTGACTGAGTCAGATGCAGGACTCTAGTCTCCAGAATCATGAGTCATTTCTCATCATCAGAAACGATTTACTCTGTGCCATGTAAATTACACATGCAATGGAAATTACAGCAACACAAACACACAACTGCAGACCTTCAAAACCGTGGACAGTCTGACACACAGCAACAGACAAGACTAGATAAACCTTTGCTACTGGAACCTTGAAGAAGACAAGAACAACAGAAAAGACATCCACAATCTCATCATGGGTAACACAGCCTAATGTTAAGACAGCAAGATGGTCTAAAGTGACCTACAGATTTAACAGTCTTTACCAGAACCACAGATAGCTTCCTGGGAAAAGGTGACAAGCTGAACCTAAAATTTCTAAGGAATTGCAAAGGGATCCACAATAGTCAAACCATCTTGGAGAAACATACATCTCCCCTACCCGCCCCCAAAGTGGTATGACATGCCACTCAACTTCAAAACCTACCACAAAACCACAATGATCAATACTGATCTAGAAGTCAGTGGACACAACAGTACAGATATAAATAAATACTTATATTCAAATGATTTTCTACTTTCAGTAAAGTTACCAACTTCAGCAAAGGACAACTTCAGCAAAAGAATGTAGGCCCCTCACCTAATACTATATTCAGAAATTAACTCAAAATTTAACTGTCAGGTCCAAAAGAAACTCAGGACAAATGGCTAACTGTAGTTCTAACAGCGTAGCAAAGTGCTTGCTGGACTCCGGGCTCACTCAGTACCTATGGCTCCTCTCAGTTCGTCTCGTCCCACCGCTACCCTAAACTTCTCCAGCTCATGTGCTTCCCTTCCCTTAGCTTCTCATTCCTATACAATCCTGTCATGCTGGCCATGTGTCCTCCTGGTCTTTTTAGCCCGCCCCCTTCTCTTCACTTTTCCTCTCTTGCTCTCCCCGTCTATCTTTCCTCTCATGCCTGGTTCAGTCTACTGGCAGTGTTTAGCCTCCTACTTCCTCTTCCTGCTCTGGACTCTTCCAGATGCCTCTGGCTGTACTCTCTCCCCATCTACAATACAATCTTCCCCTCAACCACACCTTGAAGCAGTCATGTTCTCACTTTTTATAATAATACAGACCTAAATTTAAGTTTCAACCTAGAAAATTCTTAGAAAAAGACATGGGAAGGCTTTGTGAATTTAGATTGGAAAATAGCTTCTGAACTACAGTATTAAAACACAAGCAACAAAAGTAAAAACCAAAAATAGATCACCTGAAGTGGAGTTGATAGGGACACACACACACACCACACACACACACACACACACACACACACACACACACACACATACTTTTATGTACAGCTAACAAAATCAAATTATTACTCTACACTCTGACAGTTTAGTAGAAATCCTGCAGAAAGTTTTATTGGTGTACTGCATTCCACCTGCTGGCTTATCTGGGGAAGATAAATACTTGTCAGAAACTGCCTGGAGGAGAGATGCCTCTCTCTCCTCCTCTATCTGGCTCTCTGGACAGAAGTCATATTGTGGGTCTGTTGGCTAAGAAAGGCATACTTTTATTGCTACCTGCTAAGTCTATGTGCTTTTATTTGCTCCTGGCAAATTTTTTTGTGTGTGCATTTATTGCTAACTTTAAAACAGCATGACATCTGCTCTTGCCATTTCTACTCCTGCAAACATGTTTAACTGTGAGGAAAATTCCTTCTGGTAAGCAGAGGACTCTGGGACCACCCTCAGGTGGCCACACGATCACCTGACCTATTAAGGCAGTAAGGAATTGTGGAGGGTGCTGGACTTCTCCAAAGCAATAGCTTGAGTAACAGCCCATGAAAAAAGAGGAGCTCTTCCATCTCTCCAAGTGCATGCTGATTCTTTGCTGCTTAGAATTTTTCACAAAATGGGAAAACAACACACACACAAAAACAACCAAAAGCAGTGGTAAAGAACCTCCAAAAATATATGAAAATCTCTATTATGATCCAGTAATAAAGAAAATAGTCACCTTTTTAAAAAAAGTATCCAAAGATACAAAGATGTCCAATAGTCCCAATGTATCATGGACAAACCTTGGAAACGTGCTAAGTGAAAGGAGCCATCATAGCCAAACAAACGTGGCATCACCTTATCTGTATGATGGAGCTGATTGGTAGGCTTACGCAGATAAAGAGGTAAGCAGTTGCCCAGGGTTGGGTGGCTCTCGGGCATCATGACTATGGTAAACTGGATTTGGTGAGGGCTGCACTATTCTGGGATTACAAAAGAAACCAACAAATTACACTTTAACAGTGAATGTAATGTGTATGGTGCCCCAATAAAGATGTGATTTAAAAAAATACAACATTAAAATCTCTGTGTAGTGTCCCACAAAATGGTAAGATATGGCTTTTCTCCTGGAGAGCTCGAGTTAGTCAGGGACGCCCCCAGGGTATTCACCACCGCAGTCCAAGAACCAGAAAAGGTTAAAAGCTGCAACTATGAAGTTTCAAGGATTTCCACAGAGACTGTATCCTTCAACTCTGAACTCTGGTTAATTCTAGCAATTCTATTTGGGCTTTATACATACAAACTCGTGTCTTCTCTGACGACAGACTGTTTAATTTTGGCCCCTCGCTGTAGATTTCTTTTATTCCCGAGCACACAGGAAAAAAGCCGAATGCCTACACAACATCACCTATATTCACAGCAACACCATACACAGTAGCTTCAGAGTAGAAATTGCCCATGTCCATCAACTGAGAAACAAGGTATGGCACATCATTAAAAGACAACATTGTTCACCTACGAAAAGGAAGGCAGTGGAGTAACACTGGAAACATCACTCTAAGTCAAAGAGGCCAGCCACAAAAAAGACACAGTGCTTCACTTCATCACATGAAACATTCGAACAGGCCAAAGCCCTTGGGATAAAAAGCAGCCTTAGTGGATGCTGAGAGCCAGAAGGAGAAAGGGAAAGTAGATGCTAACAGCACAAGGTTCCTGTCAGTATGAGATGCCATGAAAACAACACAAGCAAAATATGAAACACTGAACTGGATATAAATATATATCCAATTATATATAATGCATACTATGTATACATATATATACATATATATTTATGCCTCACATTTATATTTTATATACAAAATATGAAACCTCAAGTGAGGAGGAAGAATTTGATAGCCTAGAAATCTGAACACAGAGCAAATTTCTTAATAATATAACAGTGAATCTGGTGTGCAAACTTACCAAAATCCTTTTCCGGTCCTTTTCTGATAAAAATTTTACTGGTGGGTATTTCTGGGTGAAACTATAATACAAAGAGATTAAAAGGAAAAGTCAGTCCAATGTGTTCCTGGGTCACTCCCCAGGCCCGGTACAGACGGCATAGGCAAGCACTCCTCAGAACCCTGGGGACAAAGCCTGGCTTGACAATCCTTCCAGGAAACAGAGGTGAAATGCCAGCCCTCCGTATTTTGGGACAAACAGTTTTAATCCTGTTCTTTAACTGACAGAGGAATGCCTTGTTTAAAAGCATATATACATGTCTATCTTTTTGCTAAAGTAAACCATATCAGGTGAGAGTATTCTTTTCCCGTCAGCTCTCAGAGCATGGCTGCCGCTCCTTTCTTCTCCAGAGAGGAACAGAGGGGACATTCCTCACCCATTCATGTTTGGATCTAACTGGAGACAGGATGAGGGGAAAGGGAACTGCTGCTGACTGGCTCAGTCAGGTAAGATCATGGAATACACTAGACACGGTAGTGCTGCACATTAATCCCCAGCCTGGGGAGGCAGAGGCAGGAGGATCAACACTTCCAGGCCAACCTGAGCAACAGTGAGACTCTGCCTTCCCACACACAGTAGTAAAAAAGAGCTGAGGACCTATAGTAGACTTGTTGGATAAGTTCAAGTTTAAGGTGGGGACCAGGCCATGTTACTGTGGGTCTGTCAACTCCCTGACATTATTCAAGCTGACAAACCCCAAATTGGGGAAGGAAGGCCCCTAAAAGATCCTTAACACCCCCAACTGTGGAGGACAGGCTAGATTTCAGGTATGTGAACTCCCACGTCCACGTGCTTTGCTTTGGTTACACATGGAAAAGGCCAGCAGTTCCAAGTCTCCTCCAGACGGTCTTTCTCTTTGTGTGCTTCCTGTGTGCACTTCCTCGCTCTAAAAAAGGCCGGCCCATCTGTCTGCAGTGTCTGAGATTCCCCTGCTTCAGCTGTGTGTTACACTCAAGATTTTCCCTGCCATTAAAGCCTGCAATCAGAAGACAGAACAAACCTGGTCCAGACCCCTAGACAGTAATGGCTGAATCCTCTCTCAAGTGGCTTCCGACACCAACACAAGGTGTACGCTATTTCAACAGTCATTATGCTGTATTGTTTGGGGAATAACAACCAAATTCTCTGCTCATTCTCACTACAGAGGCAATTTCTCTGCAAATATATTTTCAAACTATAGTTGGGTGAAAGCGATGTGGAACCTGAGGACATGGAGGGCCGACTACAGCCCCTTGTTATTTCTTCCAGGAAGAAAATGGCAAGTAGTCTGCCCTGCTATCCAAGTAGTACGCAGCACCTCACAGGAAAGCAACTAGGACCCAATTATCACCTTATCAATTATTGAGAGTCATTCTAGACTTCAAGCCTTAGGCTTTTAGGACACTCAGAGGAGTGGGAAGCACTGTCATTAGGAATCTGAGTCACCACTGGGGTGAGAGAGCAGCTCAGCGCCAGAGTGCTTGCAGTGCATGCAGAAGGAAGGCCCTGGGTTCTGACCCCCACACCACAATAAAGGAAAATAAAACCATCACCATTTCTCAGTGTATTCAAAGAACATGGAGAGGAACGGAGAGGAACTGAAGCAACGGCATGAAGCAGGCTCTCTGAGTTCAACCAACTGTGGATCAGAACTGCTTTTAGTGTGTGGAGTGAGTGGATACTTTTCCCTGTTATTACTTCCTACTTGCACAGCAGGCTCCCTGACCAAGGCAAATCATTAGACGTGATTTAAGTGCTCAAGTATGTCACCTTATGTAAAGAGCATTTATTTTTCCGTGGGACGTACTAGAACCACACCAAACACCAAGAATGACTGCAAAATCAGTATTGGTAAATGGGAACCAACATGCAGGCTCAGGACAGACAACAAGAGCTACAGAGTGAGACTGTCTGCAGAGAGGAGGGGAGAGAATGGGAGCTATGTGGGGAGGAAATGGGGATGGGAAGGGAGGGGAGGGGCAGAACCGGTTATGCTAAGAAGGTCACATATAACCCCTACTCAGGCTTGTGCAGAGCTACTGTCCTCACCTGTATTTCCCTATACATAGTCCTTAGTCACCTCGTTTCAGGTAGGCAGTTTGTACAAAGTAACAAACACATTTTTAAAAAGAGCACATTATTATTTCTAGAAACATTCTTATCTCAAGAGGATGTTTCAGTTGAGAAAGTGAAACCAGGGGTCCAGTGAATTCCAGCACAAAGCTTCCTTAGTCACATCTGAGCTGTTCTGGGGAAAGGAAGCGCTCCAGCTCTTCCCACAGGCCTCACTCACCAAGGAGAGCGGAGCTGTTTTAGCAAGAAATCAATATGGAGACCCAGAGGGCAAACCCCTGCCTCTTTAAGGCAGCTTTGTCTCAGATTGACAGAACTGCTCTGGTGGAAATGCTCCCTTGTCTCTACTAGTTTAAAAACACAAAGAACATCACAAAGGTGTCAACAGGAGCAACATCACCTGTCTTCTGAGGGATTCTGTTTGCAAACCGTTGCCTCTGGGAAGCTATCTAGCTGGGTTTTCTAAGTTAACCAGTGGGACTTCTTAAAGAAATGAAAACCTGTGATGGGTTATTTCTTCCCATGAACAATTTATTTGTTAAAACCTTGATTAAAATATTCTAAATTATGCTGTCTTATTGAAAGGTAGGATTTCTGGCTTCTAGCAAATGAAAATATACATAGCAATAGAACTTCTGTACAAAATGATGGCACGGAGATTATAAAACCACAAGTAATGTATTAATTGGCTGAGAGAAAGACAATGAAATACTCTGTATTTCACTGTGCCTCTGCTTCATTCCGCTTTCTGTTCTTCAGGGAATTTGTTAGCAATGACTTCCCCCTCAATAAGAGCTGGAAGTAAGAGTTTGCCCGACTGCTCAGTTGAAGATAAGAGGAAAATGAGTGAGCATGCTTGCTGGGATCTCTCTCCATTCGTATACCCCATTCATTAGTCATTTAAACATTTTAGAATCAAAGAGAAATGACTTTCCATTTCCTCCTCTTTGCTCTGGACTTGATGAAGGGCTTACAGAATGCTAACACAAATAACTAAAACATCCCAGGAAAGAGAAACTTTGTGTTAGCGTTTCTTATTTAAATTTCTAAGGATTCAACCCTTACTTTTTAATGATTTATTTTATTTTTAATAAAATTAGTAAGTGTGGATAGGTGTGTGGATATATGTATCTTAGAGTGTGAGTCTCTATAGTATCCAGAAGAGGGCACTGGAGTTATAAGTAGTTGTGAGCAGCCCAAATTGGGTGCTGAGAACTAAACCTAGGTCCTCTTCAAAAGTAGAATGTGATCTTAAGCACTGAGCCATCTCTCTATGCCCTCAACGGTTATTCTTGTCACAAAATTGTCACATAACACAGAAGGAATAAATCCTAGTGCCTGAGGTGTGACTGACTTAGAAGTGCAAGTGATAAAGAGAAATTATATGGCAGACTTGTGCAATCAGGGAAAAGGAAGACATTTGCTGGAAGCTGATTTACATGGAAGCTTCTCTGTTCAATTCTTCCCTTGAAGCCACTTGACTAGAACTAAATTCTGACAATCTGGGCAATTTTGATGGCAAAGGCAGGTGGATGACTAAGCAGACAAGATCACAGGCTCCACATTGCACTTTGTTTTATGCCCTCCAAATGACTCTTATTCTGAAACTTTATTAAGCTAAGCAATATATGTCACAACTATTAGACCACCTTCTAGAAGTGCAAACAGGGAAGGATTAGCCTCAATCTGTGTGCACTGAGAATTCAGGAATTCACACAGTTTGGATAAGGAAAACTTCAACACATCTACATTCTTCTTCCAATGTTTTATGGAGATACTGTACTTAATTGGAGGAAAGAAACGAAAATGTTTATATGGACATTTATGTAGATTGCCACGGTTTATAGAAATCAAGATGATTTTAGAAGGATTTTGTTCTAGGGTGTATGTGTGTGTGTGTGTGTGTGTGTGTGTGTGTGTGTGTTTTCAGTGTATGTTGTATGTGTGTGTTGTGTGTGTGTGTGTGCATGTTGTGTGTGTATGTGTGTTGTGTGTGTATGTGAATGTGTCTGTGTTGTGTGTATGTGAGTGTATGTGTGTGTTGTATGTGTATATGTGTGTGTTGTGTGTATGTCTGCTGTGTGTGTATGTGTGTTGTGTGTATGTGAGTGTATGTGTGTGTGTGTGTTGTGTATGTTGTGTGTGTATGTTGTGTGTGTGTGTGGTGTGTGTGTATGTTGTGTGTGTGTGGTGTGTGTGTATGTTGCGTGTGTGTGTGGTGTGTGTGTGTGTGTGTGTGTGTGTGTGTGTGCGCGCATGAGCATGCACATGCACATGTATAAGTGGGGTAGAGGCCCAAAGTTGATGCTGTCTCCAATGGTTTTCTACTTTGTTTACTGAGACAGGGTCTCTCACTGAACTCACAGCTTGCTGATAATTGGTATAGCTAGCCAGCTTGTTGGAAGGTATCCCATTTCATCTCTCAAGTGCTGATTGGTGTTAATATTTAGGCATTTGCATTGGCCTGCCTTTGGAGTTCTGACAAGATAACGCCCTCAGATGCTACCACTAAGAGCACCACCTGTGCCCATTCACTATGTTCTCTTTTAAAAGGGCCCTGCCCCTTTTTGCGATCCTTTTCCTTTAATAAAAAACCCCTCCACTTGAACTCCATTGCATGGTGTCTTTCTGGAGCTGCTTTTGTTAAATTACAACAATTGGTCCTTATTCTGCATCTCATTTGCATACTCACACTTGAACCTATATAAACCTGTGGCCAGTACAGCCCTTTCCACAGTATGGCTTTTAGCCAGTTGCCCTGGGGGTTTTGGAATTCAATCGAAGACTTCAGTGTCAGACTGCTCATCCACAAAAACTACTCCAGGTTTTGAGGCCTGCCAGAGACAAGACTACTGCATGATCTACTGCTACTACTGCAGGCTGGAGAAATGGTCATGTCTCAGGGCAGACCTACTATTCCTATCCTCTGAGGTCACTCACTGCCTATGTCGTTCTCACCCTCTGCAGACTAGTTTCTCAGCTCACTGTTCTCAGCTCGCTGAGGCACCTGCAAGGGCAGAGCTGCCAACGCTCTTCAGTAACCTCCAGACCCAGACCCTCAAAGGCGTAATGGTTGCTGAGAGATCCTGCTACCATCCTCAACTTCAGCTTCTACTTTCCTTTTAAATTGGCACTCTCACCTGCAAAATAAAATTCTCCTTGTATGCTGGCCCCTTACTGTCTGCCTACTCTATTCCTGGAAGGAAGGCAAGACAAAACTCCTTATGATACAACATGAATTCAAGAACACAGCAAAAAGATCATTCACCATGGTCAAGTCAGACTTGTTCCAGAGATGCAGGGATGGATTCAATACACAAATCAGTGTAAATGAAACTGTAATGTATGACGCAAATTGAATAAATGTTCTCAAGAACAGTGACCACATGGTCATAGATGAAAAAAAAAAAAAAGAACTTTTAGACAATATCCAACATTCCTTCATATTAAAAGTCCTGAAGAAACTCAGAATAGAAGAAAAATATCTCAACATAATAAACAATGAACATGATAAAAAAAAAAACCATACAAACATACAGCTAGCTTAGTAAATGGGGAAATTCAAAGCATTCCACTCAATCCAGAATAGAGGTGCCCACTTTGCCCACTCTTAGTTTTAGCTAGAGCAGTAAGACAAGAGAAACAGAAAACAAATAGGAAAGAAAGATGCCAAAATATCTATTGGCATATGATATGACTGTGAGATAAAAAACCCTAAACACTCCACCAGAAAACACTCAGACCTGTTTCAAGCAAAGGCAGGATAAAAATCAACAACCAAAAACTCAGTAGCATTGCTACATATCATTGACAAATACACCAATAAAATCCAGGAAACAACAACAACAACAACAACAACACAGTAGCTTAAAAAAGAAAAAAAAAAAAGCCAAAAAAACCCTTGGAATAAACCTAACCAGGGGCTTGGGCAAACCATGATGGTAAAAACTTTGAACACTGAAGAAATTTTAAAAAGCCATTAGAAGATGGGAAGACCTCCCATGCATATGGACCATCAGGATTAATACTATTCTACCAAAAGCAATCTACAGATTCCATATAATATCAAAAGTCTAATGGTATTCTTCACAGAATTGGGGGGGGGGTCTATATGGAAGCAAATACCCAGGCAGCCAAAGAAATCCTGAACAAAAAGAGTACTCCTGGGGTACTACCATACCTGATTTCAAGTTACACTACAGAACAAAGCTACATTAATAAAAACAGCATGGTACTGGCACAAAACCAGACACATAGACCCATGGAAAAGAACTGAGGACCCTGACACAAGGCCACAAAAGTACAGCCACCTGATTTTTAACAGAGATAAAAAAAAAAAAACAAACAAACAGCACACTTAGAGAAAACAGAGCACCTTCAACAAACAGACCTAGAGAAGCTGGGTATTTTCTGTCCTTGTCCCAAGAACTTACCCATGGTAAATTTAAAAGTGATGAATTTATTTTTTTGGCAAAAGAGATTTCAAGGTGAGCCCTAAATAGATCCTTCAGTGTGGTTATTAACAATCACTCTTATGTGGGTTGACAATTAAAAAAAAAAAAAAGGAGCAATTGGGGCAGAAAAGAATACAAACTGTATAGTCTGCAGAGAAGAGAGACGCCGACAAGCTTAAAACACTACAGTCAAAGCTTGGTAGAGTAGAGGCTGCAATTGTTAAAGAGATGAATGCATTAAGGGAAGGGCTTGATCTGAACTGGATCAATGGAAAGGATGAGATCCCACCCAGCTAAGCTTCCAACTTCGAATAAGGTATCTTCTGCTCCTGAAAAGTAACTGCAATCAAAGCTGCTGCTAATGTGGCTTCAGGGGATCAGGGTCCATCCCACATTGGAAGCTGTTGTCTGTATGGTGCTAACTTTAGAGCCATGAAGAATCTAAGAGTGAAGGGGTTGTAGAATCACCTACTGCAGTTTCAGAGCCCCTCCGAGGAGAGGCAAGGCACCAAGTGTTAGGGGAGTCCCTACACAATGGCCTTGAGAAGTCATTGTGTGAAGCTGTAAAGCACAATCTGGGTTGTGTTGAAGACCACAAGACATTAGAGATGCCAAAGCCATGAGTTATCTGCCAAGATACCAGCCCAAGAGAGGTGTCAAAGTTGGAGAAGTGGAGCCACCTAAGCCCTTTAAAGTTAAAGTACCAAATATCAGACACGGAGCTACAGGATCTAGAGTTTGCCCTAATAGGTTTCAGTTTTGCTTACTCCACAATTTCTTCACTATGCTCTCATTCCTTCATTTTAAATTGGTCATGTATCCTCTGTGCCATTATATGTTAGGAATATGTAATTTACTTTTTGATTTTACAGGACACTGCAATTAAGATACTGCATGGAATCTCAGAAGAGACTTTAGCCTTTTACACGGTGTAGTGACTATACAAGACTACAGGGACGCCTGAAGTTAGACAAAATGCATTTTGCTCTACAGAGGCCAGGGAGCGGAAAGTGATGGCTTGAATAAGAAATGCCCCACATGTTCCAGGTATTTGGATTCTTGTTTCCCAGTTGTTAGTGCTGTTTGTGGAGGCTTGGGAAGTGTGGCCTTGCTGGAGGAGGCATGTCACTAGACATAAGCTTTGAAAATCAAGAGACTCCCGCAATTTCTAGTTCACTTCCTGTCTCTGCTTCCTGCTTCAGGTGTAAAGCTCTCGGCTTCTGTTCTTGCCACTATGCCTACCACTTGTAGCCATCATGGACTCATCCCTCTGGAAGCATAAAGCCAAGCACACCCTTCCTTTTCTAAGTTGCTGTAGTAATGGTGTTCCATCACAGCAATCTCTAACTAATACAGGTGCCCTGTATGGGAGGTCAGTGATGCTCCCAGAAGACATGGATTATTTAGTTAAAATCTCCGTGTCTATGTGTTATTGATATAGAAGACCCCACAGCAGCCAAAATATTACAAGCTGTCACCACTGCACCATAACCAGGTGCCAAGACTGACACTGAACATGTAAGACACTTGGGTTGCTGAACACTGAGACATCAGGCTACAGCTAGCCTGATAACTTCCCCTTACTGGCTAGCCTTTACAGAGCCAAAAGGTACTGTGCCATCCGCTGGGGAGGAAAGTCATCAATGGCCTTCCCACTGGTACATCCAGAATGCTATAGTATCAATCACCAGTAAGATGTACCTACTAGTGCAATAGTGGTATAAACGTTACAGGATAGCCAACTGCTTTTAGATGGGATTGAGGTGCACTCCACAGGAAGGAGTTCAAGCCTGGTATTGTAACCCTGGTCAAAAGGCTGTCACTGGGGAGGTCCCAGGTCCCAGGGAGGAACATACAGCTGTTGTTTTACTACATAGATACAATGTCAAACTATCTCATGGACATATTGATGTATATTTAGATTAGCCCTTACCTCAACCTTGGTCAGAGTCACCTTTGTCAACAGTAGGCAGTAGTAGTTAATGCACAGACTCATAAGTTGTCAGAGTGCTGAGAACAAGTGACTGTTTAGTGCTCAGCCTTAAGGGTTAACCCATGTTATACCTCAAGGCTCACCGGGACTGCAGAAGTGGTAGAAAGAATCAAAGAGCCAAAGGATGGGAAGTTATGCTGTGAAATACTGTTTGGGGGACGTGACATGGCCACTGCACCCATGAACTCACAGCAGCTATGGATACCTGCACAAGACCAGACAGCATCCCAGCAAGCATCACTAACTGCACAAGACCAGACAGCACCCCAGCAGGCATCACTAACTGCAGAAGACCAGACAGCATCCAGCAGGCATCACTAACTGAACAAGACCAGACAGCATCCCAGCAGGCATCACTAACTGCAGAAGAACAGACAACATCCCAGCAGGCATCACTAACTACACAAGACCAGACAACATCCCAGCAGGCATCACTAACTACACAAGACCAGACAACATTCCAGCAGGCATCACTAACTTAATTCAGTGCATTGCAGAAAAAAACAATAAAAAAAGTGAGATGGTAAGGTGGAGACAAGAAGATATAGGTGTGTTGGGGTTTAAGGGGGAAAGGGGAAAATAGCCTTAAAAAAAAAAAAAAGAAAAAACAAGACAACAACAAAAAAACTGGGCAGGAGAATCAACTGTCTCACCAGTATTGCAGTAGCTGCACACCTATGGGGCTTTTATGTGGGTTTTGGGTTCATTCCTAAGGGTAAGCAGTTTATCCAGTATCACCCCAGCACCGATTTTAGGAGGTTTTTTTTTTTTTTTTTTTTTTTTTCCCCGTAATTTCTTGTTACAACTTAGAAAAATCACAGTAAAAATAAACTTCAAACAAATCTCAAACAAACAAAATCTCCCTTTTTGTTTTCTTAGTGGAACGCTATTGCTTTCATAGGAAATAGTCCTTAACAACAAAGTATTTCTAGATGGTTTAAAACACCACATCCAGGACTTGGTGTGGTAGTGTTTGCTTATAATTTCAGCATTTGAAGGACTAAGCAGGCGATGTGTGAGCTCGAGGCCAGTAAGGATAGAGTGAGTGAGATCCAGGAGACTTCACAACACAGACAGGTCTCTAAACAACCACAGCTACATTCCGACTTTAAACACTCGGCTTCTTAGGGAAAGGAAAGGTCTCTCTTGAGAATGCCTTAATTGTTTATATTCTCTAAGTTCACACGTAACTTTCCTATATCATGAACTCAACTGAGATGGACATTCTAAACACTGAAATAGCCTGTCACTCATCTAAGACATTTTCTTAAAGTCAAAACAAAAAAAGTGTGCATACCTTTTTTCCAAATCTCTGATTTTCTCTCTTAATGGTTCAACAATCTGGAACAAGAACACAAATCAGTTTTAAAGCAAGCAGGGCCTTCGATTACTTTTTCCCTAGCTTAACACTAGAGGGAACAGATTTTAATAGGGCAAATGGTCTACAGGCCGACAAGCAGAAAGTCCCCATACGGAACAGAATATTTCAGTTGCAGAAGCACAGAAGCGCATCAAGATGCTTTGGAACACCCCCCACCCTCCCAGGGAGATTGACAGATACATGAATGGAACAGGAGCAAAGCGGAAGACAGACTAACCTCTTCAATCTTGCTTTCGAACTTTAGTTCACCATTTTCCTGGATAGACCTGTTGAGCAAAAAGCTGCGGAACTGAGATCAGTTGAAAGATTTTGTGCCTTCAAGATTTGTTTCTGAACTAATTACCCGAAAGCAAATCCTACTTAAAGACCCTCAGCCCGTCTTGCTCAAGTACTGATCGCCACTTCCAGATCTCCCCAGCAGGGGGCACAGAAGAGGAAAATAAGACAGTGTGAGAGAATCTCCTCAGGTCTATGAACAAGTGGGCTGTTCCCCCTACCCCGCTCCTGCAACAGATTGTTTCAATTAAACTAAATAATCTGACTGCCATGTTACACCCAACAAGAAAATTTAAGACGAAGGATGTAGCATGTCTATAGGAGTCTGTGTTTGTCTACTGGGCTTTCTTAGGGATTTAACACAAAATGGAGTTATTCCAAGGAAAAACAGAGTACCTTTAAATGAGACCTGAGCACCCCACCTATCCACACACAGCGGCCTTTGTTAGGGGACACACACTGGCAGTGGGGATAAAATCAACACAGCCCCAGCAGCCTTGCAAGCAAAACCAATTCCACAAAAAGAGGTTGCTGGGGGTGGGGAAGCCAGCTTGTTTCTTGTGTGCATTTTGAAGATCCCAATGCCAACTTCCCCATCAGGAACAGCAGGGCTACTCTTCAATGTTCTGATACCAGGAGATAAAAAGTGGAGCAAAAGTCTCTTTAATCAGACAACTGCACTATTGTAGCTTATTTGCTTGTAAAATGAATGTGTATTACTCTTCAGCTGATTTTTTTTTAAGTGTTGCTTTTTAACTTGGTACAAAAGGATTCTTACTTGTACAAGTATCCCTACTGCCTATTAAAAAAACAAAATTTAGAAAGCCAGCTTGGTAATAAATGGCTATAATCCTAGCGCTCGGGAGGCTGAGGCAGAAGATCATGGGCTTGAGGCAATCGAGGCTACACTATAAATTCAAAGGCAGCCTGTGCTACACTGTAATATTCTGTCCCAAACAAAACCAAAACCAAAATAGGAACAACCACCAAACAGGCACACTCAAACTAGAGGGTCCCACAAGCCTTCACCCCAGACAGGAAGGAGGTCTAGACAACAGCATCTAGTGCAGACCAAGCCATCTTTAACCTAAAAATCCAAACATCTAAAACCCAAACTACGCTGAAATCTGAAACAAGGTGAGCACCAACAAGAAACTTCCACAGCTGACCTCAAGTGACAGGTCAGGATCAAAAAACACAGGCTCACCAAAAAAGTATTTCTAAAGTCACTTTCAGGCTACATATGTGTAAGAAACAAATGAATTCCATGTTTAAACATGTGTCCTGTCCCACACAGTTTCATTATATATGCATAAAAATTCCAAAACGTGAAAAAGAAAATAAACAAAACCCCTCTAAGATCTGAATGCTTCTGGTCCCAAGCAGTTTGGAGCTAAGGAAGGCTCAAGCTGCAGCTGGCTCCCACATGCAAAAAGGCAACCGTGATTACAAAGACATCACCCTTCTGGAAGAGCTGTGCAAAAGGCCACCCACAATACACTTTACATGTGAGTAGTAAAGGCGAGTATCCACTGTGTGCCTCTACGGGAGGAGGGGGATGGGGCAGGCAACACAGTGGCCATCACTGCCATCTGAACTTCACTGGGATAAAATCTAAAACCAGTTACATCCCTTGAGAACACCCACAGAAGAAATGAAACACCCAGATATGTGAACAGCATTAACAGCTTCATCAAAAACATTCAGTTAACTCATGATCCAACTGAGTTACAACTGACCCTATAAAACCCAACCATAATGCCCAAGCAATTAAAAACAATTACCTCATGTTAACAAAGTTGCCCCAAACAGCTGCAAGAGAAAGAAGAAAAAAAAATCAGTATTTAAGTCTATAATATCCAGGGATTCCAACTGATGGAACTTTAATTTTTATATGCTTTATAAAGTTCACTAAAAAAGAATTCACAAAGACAATAAAACATATACCATTTTCAGGAAAAGACTATAAAAAGTGGAAAATAAAGATTCCCATGTAGTCCTGCAGCTCTGGCATTTGGAACTCAAGGATGTGCTTTGAAAAACATTTTGTCCCCAATATTCTGCTTAAGAAAGACTCATTCCTAAAAATAAAAGTCAAAGAACTGCACACCTTAAAGAACCCAGGTTTGATCCAATCTCTCCCTGTGCATGTAGAGATGGCTGGAGCCCAGAGAAGCTCACGGGGGCCTGAAGTGGTGGCCCAGCAGCGGGAAGGGAGTCTATTCCTTCAGCACTTACAGCCTCCCCCATAACAGCTCTCCCCCTCTCTAGCAGGCTATCTACACCAGGTGACTGAACTGCATGGAATTAGTCCCAACCCCACAGTGACATCTTACCACAGATATCTAAAAACATCAAAATGTTAAGAATCCCTAACTCCAAGTCTAGTATCTGAAATGTGCCCCTATCTGAAAGTCTGAGCCTTACCATGATGCTACTACAATTAGGAAATTTCATGCCTTGAAATTCAGTTTCATGCTCAGAATTATTTAGATTAGTGTATAAGAGTGAATTCTGTGTTTAGGATAGGTTCCCTTCTCAAGACAGTTCAAAGACATACAAATACTCTTTAAAAAAAATAACCCTCTGGAATGGCTAGAGAGATGGCTCATCTGTTAACGGGACTGGATGCTCTTCTAGAGGATCCAGGTTCAATTTTCAGCACCTACATAGCAGCTCACAACTGTCTGTAACTCCAGTTCCAGGGGATTTGACACCCTCACACCAAAGCACATAAAATAAAATTAATTATTAAAAAAATAATTAAAAAAAAATAACCTGGAAATCTGAAACCCGTCTGGCCCAGTTACTTTGGCTAAGGGATACAAAGCCTTCTAGACTATGCAACATCACTTTACCAAGCAGAGGACAATTTCATGGACCCCTTTGCTGTGAGTTCTCAGTGCTGATGTTTTCCTACAGTCCTCGGTCTTCTCTCCTGCCGGGTATGGGGAATTCACACACATTGGGCACAAATGTCCTTACTGACAGGGCTGGGCACTGTGTGCACTTGGGGAGGCCTGAGGTTAGTATCCAATCGGCCCAGGCATCTTCTTGTCACTAGATACCGACTAGGAACATTATCCAGAGCATCCCTCACAAGAAGTCTCACTGTGGAGTAGGGGAATATTGCTGATGAAGAAAAAACAGTTCTCTCCAAGGAGATGAGCAAAGTACTTGGCGGGGGGGGGGGGGGGGCACCAACACCCCGCCGGGGGGGGAGGGAAATTAAAGAGAGAAACTAAATAGAGTAGTTCTAAAATGTCTGTTGTTGCCTGTTTTTTCATATAGCCTCATTATGCACACCTAACTGGCCTTACTAAACAGACCAGGCTGGCCCCAGACTCACAGATCTGCCTGCCTCTGCCTCCCAAGTACTGGGATTAAAGGTGTGCATCACCACACTCTGCTTGGCTTGGCTTGTTTTTTAAACAGGGTCTTACTCTGTAGCCCAGGCTGATGAGAACCTGGGGCAATCCTCCTAGCTCAAACTCATTCTGAGTGCTGAGGTCACTGGTGCAAGCTACTAACACCCAGACCGTATTAGTTTCAAAACTTTCTTCAGAGAAGAATGGCACTGTGCTCATTTCCACAACTGTCCCCTGAGCTGTCCTTCAACCCCGATGCCATGTGGCAAATGTTCCAGAGTGATAATAACTTCAAGGAAGTCCTTGGTAGACAGTAAGCCTACTTCCCTATGAAGGGCACTCAGCAGTTCAGGAAAATGAGCAGCTATTGTCCCCATTCATTGCTTTGGCCCAGAACACTTTAATTTAGAAAATATTCAAACCAGAAATTATACAAACAGAAGGCATCCTGAGCACATTTCAAGCATAACTGGCAAATAAAATTAGACAATGATGTTGCTGGACAGGCAAGTGCTTGCCTCTAGCTGTTCTGAGTGTGTTTAGTGAACTGAAATGCTTCATCTGACCTATAGCTATATCAGCTAAGTGCTCCTGGCAGAGATCTACGGTGTCGTCATGAAGGGACTATCTTAGTCACTGTTCTATCACTGTGACAAAGCACCGTGACCAACACAACTGCTTTAGTCACCACTCTATTGCTGTGAATGGACACCATGACCAAGAAAACGCTTATCAAAGGAAGCATTTAACTGGAGGATTAGTTTCAGCAATTTAGTCCATTATCATCGTGGTGGGGAACATGGCACCAAGCATGGCACTGGAGCAGTAGATGAGTTACATCCTGACCCACAAGCAGAGAGAGTGAGCAAGATGGCCTGACATGGGCTTTTGAAACCTCAAAGCCTACCTACTCTCAGTGACAAATCTGCTCCAATAAGGCCACACCTCCTAATCCTCCCCAAACAGTTCCACCAACTGGGAACTAAGTATTCAAACATATGAGCCTATGGTGGTCACTCTCATTCAAATCACCACAGGAACTCCAAGACTGCATTTTTAATACTTGTTTCAAGGGAGGGTGGCTCTGTGTCCCTCTCTGAACTCCATGGGCTTTGTGCTGCTTTGACCACAAGGAAATCAGAAATGACTGCTGGGATAGTCAGTCTGGTGGCCCCGAGTCACTGTGGAAGAAGGCTGGATGGTAACTATTGCGGACATACTAGCAGCCAGTGCTGAGTGTGTTGCTTCTGACCTAGCCAAGAAGTCACCAACTGGCGAGTCTTCCCAGTGGCTGCCCAATTTAAATCTAATCAAAGTCCCAGGCATTAGAAAACATGAAAGATTCACCCCCCTTGTGAATTTCCAACCCACAAAGGTCATGATACACTGTAATGGTAGTTAAGTGGTCAAGCAGCCTGAATCAGAACAGGGCTGGGTTCATCACCTTCTTTAACTCACAGATGTTCAGATACCAGTCTCAGCCCTCAAACAGAAGCAGGTATGAGCTGCATTCCAATCAGCCCATCTGTAGCATTTCCCTCATCAGAAGCAACCAATTCCCAGGGACAGATTTCCGTGAGACACGGGAGTGTACAGGATGCAGTTCTGAGGAGATCTTGACCACCCAGTGAACAAGGCTACTGACAACCTAACTGCACACCTCCCCGCATGAAACATCAGCTGCTCCTGGCAAAGACTGGCCTTGCAAACCTTCAAAACCCCAACAAGGCAAAAACTGTGGATGGGGTAAAGATGTGACTAACCCTAGATGGGCTCTGGGGTAGCCTAATTAAATCCTCTCTCTCCCTCAACAGACAAGAACAGTCACCAGCCTTGTAATAGGAGTAACAGTGAACTTCTGGCCTAATTAGCCAAATGAGAAGATGCTGTCTTGCATCCTTCAAATTCACAAGGGGAGGAGACATGCAGAAGCACTGAGGCGTCCCTTTTCCACTTCCCACTGCAGACTGAGCTGAGGTGCTGAAGGCCAGGCAACAGGAACCCCACTGAATGGACTGGCCACACTCTTCTAATTGCAGCTTCTCTAGCCTCAAAGGCCAGGTCTCAGGAGTGGGGGACTAAGAGATCACCCAGGATGAAAGCAAGTCCCCACTCATGACAATGGTGACTGATAGCTGTGAGCCTCAGGCACAGCAAGACTTGCCAGAACCCCCTCCCCGCCCCCGTGGCCCTAGCCCTGTAGGCCCCAACCTCTAGCCAGCCCCTGATGATAGGTACTGAACCCCAGTTACAAAACCCTTAGGCTTACATCATAAAGTCCTAGTACTCTACAGCTATGGTTTGAATGTCCCTCCAAAATGTGTGCTGTAATTTAACTACCACTGTAGCAGCAAGCAGCCTCCCTAACCCAGAGCACCTTCTGATTGCTCCCATCACACTTGCACACCCCATCCTCAAACAGTCCATGTCTCAACACAAATGGGTCTCTCCGATGGAAAGAAGGGAGATGCTGAGGCAGCTCGCTCTGCACCATCCCCAAGTGGTACTGTGCAGGATTCTAGGACAGCTGGCTGGTGATAGCCTTAACCTCCACACTCAGCCCAGCAAAGTCCTGCATGATCACTGCAGTCCAGCACCATGACCTAGGCAACTTACAGAACAAGGGTCTATTTGGGATTATGGTTCCAGAAGGGTAAGAGTTCCATCATGGTAGGGAACATAACATGTTTTCATGTTATGCTGAGAGCTCACATCCTTTACTATAAGCACCAAGTAGAGAAAGCAAACTACAGTGACTCAAGACTTTCCAGTGACACACTTCTTCTAACAAGGTTATACCACCTGAATTCCCCAAACAGAATTTCCAACTGGAGATCAAGTATTCAAATGCCCCAGACTATGGAGGACATCTTACCACATAGGTGAATACAGAATGCCCCTGCCCCATATTCCTGAGCAGGCTGCTGGAAGAACCCTTGGTAATGAGGCTCTGCCACCACTTCTCTGGACTTATCTCCAGGGCATCACACAACCCTGAATACTCTCTTCACAAAGGGCCATCAATCACCTGCCTCTAGCTTCTCAGATCCTGACTAACTGTCCCCTCCAATGCTCCTTTTGGGTCCCTCCTCTGTTCCACTGCAGAGCCCTCACCTGCACAGGGAGGACAGGTCCCTGTCCTAACTACCTGCACATACACAATGTAGATTACCTTAGCCAAGAATGGACTTAGTGTGGTGACTGCTTTTAAATGTCAACTTCTCTCAAGTTTGAATCACCTGAGCAGTGTCAACTGAGGAACTGTCTTGATTACCCTTGACTGATTTGGGGAAGGCTCACCCCAAATGCAGGCAGCACCTTCTTCAGGTAGCAGCCTAGGTAAAGAAGCCTAGGAAAAAAAGGAAATCACTTGCCTATTGATCAGTTGGCCTTGCCCCTTACTACCAAATTCATTTACTCTGTTGCTGTTGTTGATTCTTTCTC